TCGGGCGCGCTGCTCACCCACTGGGTCCAGTGGCTCGCCGCGCTGCTGTAGGCAAGGCCAGTCGCCCAGTGGCCGGATTGGTTTCGGATCGACGGACTGCAACGAGAAAGAAAGATAAATAAATAAATAAATCAATAAATAAAAACACAAGGCAAGCCACCATTTGCCTCCGCCAAGTGTGGTACTCACCTGCGAGGCTTCTTGTGCTCGCCTCCGCAGGCGCGGTGGCTGTGACCGCCGCACGCACGCTGACCTCACCACTGCGGAATGTCCATGTGCAGCTCGACCAAATCAGTACGTTTGGTGTGCGGTGGTGCGTGTGCCGTCTGCCGTGTGTCGTGTGTCGTGTTGTGTCTTGTGTTGTGCACTGGGCTGACGTCGGGGTGCGTGTGCAGAGGGGAGGAAGTCTTCGGTGCTGGGCACCACGCGGGACATCTGGCGGAGGGACGGCGTGCGCGGGTTCCTGCACGGCAACCTGAGCGCGTGCGTGCGGACTGCCGTTTACAGCGGCGTCAAGCTGGCCACCTGGACCAGCCTGCGCCTCTTCCTCGAAGACACCACCGGCCAGGTATAATAACGCATAATATTCATAAATAACCAGCTACACGGCCACTCGCACACGCATGGAGATGGGAAAAAGTTTGCAACAATCTCTCGGGCGTGTGGCGGCGAAAGATGGGAAATGAACAGGGGCAAGGAATAATGTTGCGAAAGATGGTGTATTTGATTTGTCATGACTGCTGTGCTGAACATGATGTCGAAGGGGCGCCATGGCGGAAAGGAACAGCTCGAGGACTAATTACAGCAGAACGGATAGAAAGATGGGAGTTGGGAAGAGGTGAAGAGGAATGGAAGGAGATAGAGGTCGGGCGTGCCCGAGATCGGACGTCGATGAGATGTTAGGAAGCACGTAGAGTCGAAAGCCGAGACGATCGTCAGAGACGCTCTCGGGCAGCACCGTGTGGGAAGAAGTTGGCGAGCAGCTTAGAAACCATGCACCTTGATGGCGTTCTGCGAGACGATGCCCTTGCCGATGATGAACTCCTTGACCTTCTCTCTCTGGTCGCCTTGCAGCTGGATCACCTGGCCGTACTCTTCACTTTCGATGACGGTGCCGTTGCAGCAGAGTTGCTTGCGCAGGGCCTTGAGGACCTTCTCGATGTGCTTCTTGGGGATACCCTGGATGGTCGTCACGGACTTCTTACCGTTTCGCTTCTGGATGCGAAGATGCACGTAGCTTTCTTCGCCGCCTTTCCCTTCCGACTTGAGCTCAGCTTCGGGGTCAAATCTCCCGCCCAAGTTGAGTATATCTGTCATAAAAATTGGTCGAGGGGGACGCGCTCTTTCTCTCTCTTCGAAGTTGGTGATGTGTTCGGGGCTGAGGAAGATCTTGGGAGAGTCTTCGGTCAACCGAGCGATCGAGTCGAGGAGGAGGTGCGGTAGGTGCGGTGTGGGATGGATTGAAGATTAGAAAAAAAGAATAATTACCAAAAAAATACCGTTGCCCCGGCACCAGAAGCCTCCGCTGCTGATTGGAAGAAAGTTCTATGAATTATGGCTGGTCCATGGGCCCACTAAGCAATCAAAGAAAAAGCACCGACAAGCAAGATGAGAATTCGCTGCGAACCGAAGATTCCCAGTTCTTTCCTGGTCGCCACATTTTCTCGCCTCAGTCGCGCTTTTCTATTCTTTTCTTTGTTGCCTTTTTAGGAAACCTGGAGCGACTGCTGTCGGCGGGTTCATTCCAGCACCCAGAGGCCATGGTCCTTGTTGCCTGTCACCCAATCAATCGGGAGAGGGTCAGTTCGACTCTGCGCCAGAGCTCCGGGCAAGCAATGTCAAGGTACCTCCGAACAGGCAGATCTGGTCGACACCGACCGCCGCGGCCTGGAAGGCCACGCGCCTGTTGAGCACGCCCGACCGCTCCACCTCCTCGTTGTCGTTGTCGCTGTCGTTGTGGTCCGACAGGTCGGACAGGTCACAGGCCGACGGGTGCAGGGACAGCATGTGCCTCTTCCACTGTCGTGCGTCGAGGTCCATCACCCACAGGTACTTGATGAGCGCGAATGTTTGGTCGATCGGCTCCAGCGAGATCCCTCCCAGCACCGCCTGACAAAGGCGAGCGTCAGACAGCCAGGATTCAATCGACGGCGGGGATTGGGGAGAGCGAGCGTACGAGCGTGTTGCCCAGGACGAAGGCGGAGTGGCCCCACCTGCCCAGGGGAACGTCGTCGGGGCTCTTGTTGGCGTATTCTACCTTGGTCCACGTCTTGTGCTCTGTGCCAGGCCCATTCGCCACGGTGAGGCCACAAGTGAAGTGTCGTGCCATGTGTGCCGTGTGCGTGGGCTTGCGCGCACATACCAGTGTCAAGGATGAAGCAATCATTGAGGTCTTGCGGCACGTCCTCTGCATGGCCACCAAAGAGAACGACGCGCTTGGTGTTCGGAATGACGCAGAGCGAGTGGCTCTGCCTTCCCCGTGGTTGATCGCCCGTAACGCTCTCCTCCTTCCATTCCCACGTATCTGTGTCGTTGATATTGTCGTGTGTCGTGTGTGTCGTGTGTCGTGTCCCATGTCGTTAGGAGGCTGAAGAGCGGGATCAGGCAAGGCTGAGGATTATTACCTAGATCCAGGGTCCACACATCGGCAAAGTGGTGCCAAGTGTAGTCCTCGTCCACGTAGCAGCCTCCGACCACCCACAACTTGCGCCCCACGACCACGGACCTTGTAGGGAGGCCTGAGAGGTAAGAAGCCGCCCAATTGTTTAAATAAAGAAGTGGGGACGGGTGGAGGCACCTGTGGGATGCGCGGGGGTGAGGCGGCGTCCCCTTGCACGCCAACGGAATCCAGGCAAGGGCGGCCAGATCGAACAGGAAGGTGTCGTTGAAGAACTTCCACCCCTCCGGATGACTCGCGGTCGGAGCTCTCTCGCGGTTGCGATACTGTGACGCACGCGCGCACGCACGCACACGCATGTAAGGAACTCGCATTTGTGGGTGATCGTGGCTGGAGACATACTTGGCCTCCAAAGAACAGGAGGTGAGCGCCGTTGTTGATCCGGTGCGCCGAGTGTCCAGAACGCGCCTCCGGCTCCCAGCCATCTGATCTCGGTCGATCCATGCGTTGCCACGTCGCCGTGTCTGCTCACCATTGTTGTTACACACACACACACGCACACATCAGACAGGATGACAGGACTGACCTACGCCACACAGCACGCACCGCACGCACACGACATATTTCTAATGTACCGAACTTGTAGAAGAACAGGGCGGGAGAGAACAGCATGGGGCACAGCGAGGCGGGCAACACCACCTCCAAGTTGTGGCCGACCCCCACGGGGAACGAACCTCCGTACCGGGCCAGCACGGGCTCCGTCGCACCTCTTCTGGTGATGATGGTGGTGGATGGACACCAAGTCATTAGCGTATTCGTGTTGAGGGCCGCGACCATCAAGGGGTCGGGGTACGTGTGGGTCGACTGGAGGTTGAAGTAGGTGAGCGAGTGGGCGATGTAGTTCCTCTGATCCTCTGCCGCGTCGTCCTCTCGCGACTCAGGTCTGTAGCCAGCACCTGCGTGTGAGCTACAACTCCCATTTGAATTCAAAGACAAGTAGTGGCGCACAGTTGGAGATCAGGAGCTGCCGAGCCGATGCACTCGACGCGCTTCCACTGCACTTGTCCTTCTGCCACTGTAACCCCCCCCCAAACATATTAATATAGCGCTCTATATAATTTAATGTTCAGTAAAAAGGCGACTGGGGCCGCACGTCTGGTGGCGAAGTTCTGGCGCCGACGTTCGAACTGGCGGCGCACAATGTCGCGGAAGGCGTGGTTCACGCGGCCCACGTTGGCGAGACCTTCGGTGACGCCCACCCAGTTGAACACAAGGTCCCACAGCTCGGGCATCAGCACAACAGTTTCCTCGCTGGCAGTGCTGTTCATCTTTCGCGGCCTTGTCTTACGGGGCAGGTGCTGATAAATGCCGCCCCCGACATGTGGGGGACCCAAAGGCGCAACGACAACTCCGGAAAGCCTTTTCATTGGATGCAGTTATCAAAGATGGAGCAGCGGAAGGACTTGAGGTATTACATTCTCAGCTTCGGGGCTAGGGGCGAGGGTGGCTGCGCCGGTGGACGATGGCCTGGGCCAGTCGCAGCGCGCAGGCGTCGGACAGGCGGAAGAAGAGCTCCGGGTCCAGCGCCTCGACCTCGGACACCACCAAGCGCCCCGCGTTCTCGCGCAGCAGGTCGACCCGAGCCAAGAGCAACCGCCCCTCCGCATGTCCATCGCCCCCGCCGCCTGCGCTTCCACCACCTCCACTAGTCCTCCTCGGTGGTCGCTTCTCTTCCTTGGCACCGCCGCCGCCGCCGAGGGTCTTCTCTTTGCCCTTGGCCGGCTGATGATGCCGCGCCTTGCCTGGTCGCGGGTCTGCTCGCACGGCATCGGCCTCGCCGCCGCTTTGTTCTTCGACGCCTTCGTTATCAGTACCACTGGTGGCGCTCCTCTGCCGGTTGCGGTAGAAGGAGAACGTGGAGCACCGGTTCGGGGAGTAGATGGCTTCGATGGATGCGTGGATGGCGGACGAGGCCCAGCTTCAGCTCCTCTTCCGTCGCGTCGTGTCGCTCTATCTTGCCGCCTACGCACAGAAGCGCCAAATCGCGGGTTACTTGGCGCACACATACGACACACACAATTGCACACGCACGACACGCACGACACACGACACACGACACAACACGACACACGACACGACATGGTACGTACCTTGTACTTTAAAGTCGCCCTGAGTTGGTTTTTTCTTGATGGCGTGCACGAACTCGTTCTCGATGAAGATTAGCGACACCTCGCCCTTGGTCTTCACCGATGCCAGGAACGGTTGAATCAGCAGGTCCTGTCCGCTCAGCAGCTGGTTCATCCGCTTCATCACCTTCACGTTATCACCGTCTCTGTTTCCCATCACCGTCAGCAGCTGTGCGGTGTGCGTGTGCGGTGTGCGGTGTGCGGTGTGCGGTGTGTGTCGTGTGTCGTGTTGTGTATGTGTGTGTTACATACCTGCCGCCCAACTTGATCATGGTGACGTCGTTGCCGAAGGAGCCCACGGCAGGCTTGACGATGAAGAACTCGCAGCCCCACTCGTTCTTGCGGGCGATCTCGTCGGCCGCCTTCTCGAAGTCCTGGCCCCGTTCAAGGAGCCGGGTGGGAACCACTGGGATGCCGCGCCGCTCCAGGTCGAGCAGGTATCGCTTGTGCCCGTTCCACCGAAGCGTGGCGGCGTCGGGCAGGAAGACTGGACCGCCACCGGTGGGTGGTGTCCGATCGACGGTCGAGTCCAGCCAGGCCAGCCACTCGGCCTGCCGCTGGGTGTAGTCCCACGGCGATCGGATCACGCACAAGCGGAAGCTGGCCCAGTCAACTGCACGATGGTAACCCAAATGGAATGAATAACTGAATAAAATAAAAAATATAAAAAGAAAGATATATATACCTCCGGGGTCGCTCCACTGGACGATGTGGACCGGTCCGCTGGTCGGATCATCCTCGCTGGGCGCCTTTGCCCTGGGGCGCGATTTGGCTCGTTGGCCGGTTGTGGGCGCTGCCGGCTTGCGTTCTCCACCGGCAGCTGGCTGCAGGGCCTCAACGAGGGCGCGGTACAGCAGGCGGTCGTCGCCCGTGAGCTTCGGAAAGAGGGGACATGTGACCAGCCCCACCCTCACCCCCTGCTCGCCCTCCATTTTTTTATTATCTATTTGATTAAAAAAACAACTAATTTCCAAGTATTTCACTAATGGGGAGTAGGAAATTTATTCACCGAAAAAACAAAAACAGATCATAGCAAGTGGGGGGGTAGAGAGACCAGAAGGCTGCACAAAGGAAGATGGATTCAGAGATGGAAATTGAGAAGCGTTTTATTAAGAACCTGGACAAGGGCAAAGATAAAATCGACGCACAATCATTTGTGCCATTTCTGTTCCCCTCGGGCGCCAATGCGGCAGGAGCCGAGTCGGGTGACAGGATCACCGAACTGGAGGTGCTCTTCGATGCGCGCACGTTTGGCGAGCAGCTTCAGCAGGGCATGAAGGACCTCTTCTTCAACAGCCACCTGAGCGACATTACGCTCATCGTGGGGCGCGATGCGGATCGCATTCCTGCACACAAATTCATTCTCTACGCGTGGAGCCCCAAGTTCCAGGTACACCCGTAGCCTTTTTATTAATTCCTACATAAATAAATTCTTTGTTTATTCAAGAAAACATAAATAAATATTCGTACTGACAAAAATAAACAAATAAAAATATGCCGCTCATAATATTTCTTGTTGGGTGCAGGCGCAGTTGAAGGAGTTGGGCGAGGAGGGCAGGGAGCTGCACGTGGCGGTCGAGGGCGACGACGCCGCACAGCTCTTCAAGATGATGCTCCAGTACATGTACACCGGTATGCCGAATAACCCCTTGTGCGTGTGCGGTGGTGCGTGTCACGGTGTGCTCTCCGACTGACGCGTCAGGGGTACCGTGTGTGTGCGCTGGCGCTATACAGGCACGTCCGACCAGAAGATCAACGAGCGCAACGTGATGCCGCTCCTCCAGCTGTGTCACGAGTACGGCGTCGACCCGCTCAAGGAGGAGTGTGGCAACTTCCTCTTCTCCAACAGTGAACAGGTCAATGTGGCCTATCTGCTCGGTATGACACACCACACACCACACCACACACACCACACACACCACACCATGACGCACACTCATTCATTGGTCGTTGTAGACGTGGCCGACAAGCACGGCATCAAGAATCTCGAGAAGCGGTGCGCCGAGTACCTGGCGGCGAACTTCTCCGACTTCATCGAGAGCGACGACCGCATGCTCATGCAGCTCAAGACCTCCACCTGGCTGGAGCTCGTCCAAAGCGATGAAATCGAGGTCACCAGGTAAGCCAGGCCTTTGTGTGCGTGTGTCGTTGGTCGTGTCGTGTCGGCTGTTGACCATTGGCTTATGTGCAGGGAGGAGGAAGTTTTCAATGCCGTGCTCAAGTTTGCCGACGTAAACGGCAAGACCGCCGCTGAGACGCGAGACATTCTGAACCAGCTGCTGCCGCACATCCGCTTCACCCTGTGCTCGCCCAAGTTCATCAGTACGCACTGTCAGCCCAGCAGTTGTGTGTGTGTGTGTGTGTGTGTGTGTGTGTGTGTGTGTGTGTGTGTGTGTGTGCGTGTCCTTACCACCCTTTTGCTGTGGGGTACAGTCGAGGAGGTGGAGACCAACCCGGAGCTGATGCAGGTGCCCGTGTTGAAGAGCCTCCTGTTCGAGACCTTCCGCTACAAGGCCAACCCCAAGACCCCGTTCCTCTTCACGCCCCTCAACACCAAGCGCAGGAAGGGTGCGACCAATTTATTGTTATTGAATTGAATAAGTTCCGATTAGTTTGTTAATTTTTCTTCATTTTCTGGAGTGCAGCCAACTTGAATGTTATGCTGCAGTGGGACAAGGACCAGCCGTTCACCCACGGCGTGTACACACTCGAAAACGAGGAACTCACGGCCCACAAGTCTTCCATGCCCGGTACCACTTCTTCTTCCCCTCTCTCGCCTTGTCAGTCAGTGCCCGCACAGCACACAGTGGGCTGACCAAGCAGCTCTGCCCCACTACTACTCCCAGGCACGATCTACGTTCTGCGCACCAAGACCAAGCTGGAGGGCAGCGGCTCGTTCTACTGGGAGATCCAAATCGACCAAACCGCCGGCAATCAGGAGCTCCACATCGGCATTGCCGAGGAGCACTTCAAGTACGGGCACACAACGCCGCACGGCACGCACGCACCGCGCGCGCGCGCACACACACAGTTTGGCCAACCGCATGTGGCTCATGTGGGATTCTGGGGGCGGTGGGGCACTTTAGCTTCCACACGGCGTACCTGCGAGCCAACGGTACCCATTATATCGAGCGGAGCGGCGGCATCATGCAAGGCCACACGCAAGTCGTGCAGGGCCCCACCCTGAACACCAACGACAAGTACGCATGTTATATTGTGTGTGTGTGTGTGTAAGCGGCTGATTTGTAATCTCACACTTGAAACCTCAATAATTCTGCACAGTGTCGGCTTTGCGCTGAACCTGGACGACGCCACGCTCCAGATCTTCCACAACGGAACCCCTGTGCATACCTTCACCGGCGTCACGTACGGCCGCCTTTTTCTCCCTACTCCCTTCCCACTTCCCTCCCAAGGTCTCAATTCCTCGTCTTCTGTGTTGGGGGGACAACCGTAGGGGTCCGGTGTGGCCGTGCGTGGCGGCGCGTGACGTGGGCACCAAGCTCACGCTCGTGGGCAAGAAGCCCAAGATCTACCAATTCCCGTCTCTCCCCAAGTAAGACGCTGCAGCCAAACATGTCGTGTTTGGCCGCCCGCTGTGGCTCTCCCGCGGCCCCAGTTTGCCCTATCGTTTTCCTTTTCACAAATAATAATAATATTGAGCGGCCCCCTCTTTGTTCCACCGCCGAAGTCTGACCAACAGCGGGAAACTGCGACCTCGAGGGCCACTGCGGGCAAGCTTGTGCTCCCCATGGGGACATGGCCGCCTGACCGAGAATATATCTCTGGTAGCCTAGCGGCAGAAGTCCGCCGTGATCATCCGCCTCATGTGCCAGATCCCTGTCGGATATATGTCGGTCGATAACGAGCGATTGGGGGCAACCACCAGGTTTTTTTCAAAGCATGGTCTCCTGTTGTCAGCGACAACTGCGAGATCCTTGCGGTGCGGGAAGCCAATAGGGTCATCCGCCCAATCACACTGTGATTTAATTTAAACGAGATGCTAGGATTCGGGTTGCGACTTCGCGATAAACACCTCCCATCAAGAAGAACCACCAAAACCACCTCACCACGCCACCAACCAGCACCAGCACCACAATGCATCGGACGCCAATCCTTCCAACCAGCTTGGAGCCCATCGCTCCCACACCACGGCCAAGAGGAGGGAGGCGAGCTGTCGCCAAGGCCTGTAACCACTGTCGAGTCGCCCACATAGCCTGCAACGAGGAGTACACTGTCGCTGTCTCACCGCAAGCATGGTCCACGATTCGGACATTTACTCACCAACATGATGGTTGTGTTGTGTGATGCACCACTGGAAGGGAAAGACCGTGTCAGCGCTGCGTGCGACTGGGCCGGGGTCACCTATGCGAGGACGTCCCCGCTCGCAAGCGCGGCCGTCCCGCCTGGCGGCTGTGCAAGGAGGAATCGGCGGAGCCTCAGCCCCAATCTTCGTTATCATCTTCGGAGGACGACGCCCCTACTACGCCACCTCTCCCCCCACTGAAGAGAAGAAAGATCACGCCAATGGGATCGGGCGACGAGGAAGAGCGCGACAACGCCGACGACCGCGCAGTCGACCGACAGACCGCGGTCGAACTCAAAGACTCGCTTATCCGGCTCTCCGAGCTGGTGATGGGGGTCGCTGAGGATCTGCGAACCCTCCAGCATAGCAACAAGGCCTTCGAGCAGCGCATGGCCGCCATGGAGGCGCGCCTCTCGGCGCTGCAGCGACATCATCATCAGCACAACCTCCACCACCTCGATCCCAACCACGACCCCACCAGCTCGTCGCACCCCGACCACCTCACGCACCCACCGCAACCGCACGGATCGCCGTTGGGTTCGAGTGCCACCGAGGCACAGCTGTGGACCCTGCGCGACAGCTCGACGACCGCCGGCCTGGGATGGGGAGCGTACTGCCTCTCCCCAACAACGTTGCCTTCTTCGCTTTCGTCTTCGTCTTTGTCCTCTTCGTCATCTACGCCAACGCCCACATCGGAGTTGGTGCCGTTTGACTCCGAGCTGGCGGTGCTGCGGTCGAGCCTGCCCGAGTGGAGCGCGCTCGAGGAAATGCGCCAGAGCAGCTGCCCTTTCTCAGCGACTGCCCCCTCACCCCCAAGAACTTCGTCGTCTCCGACACGAGGTACGAACCACCAGACTCAGACTCTTTGGTTTTGAAGAAGACTAACCGCAAGTGGGATCGGACAGATATCCCATTATGGCGTCCATGACCACGGCCACGGCCCCCGTGCCCTACTATGCCAACGAGGCCTTCACCAGTCTATGCGGCTACACACGGGTATATCAAGTGGGCCTCTTTATGGACTGGTTAGGCACTCTTAGATTCTAACACCGGCGTGTGTACAGGAGGAACTGACGGGAGTGCCGATGAATAGGCTCTTGTCGAGAGGTAAGAACACGCACGACCACCTAAGGGACATACTCACGGCGCGGTAGGTCAGTTCTTCCTATTGTTCGTTTTTCAAACTGAAAGAAGATGTAGTTGGTTTGCTTGGTGTTGAATCTCACTCTCTGACTTTGCAAGAACTCCAAAGGGAGTGAGCGGCGTGGTGTATCTGCGTCCGCTTCTGCGCCATCGCAACGGAACGACGTTTTGGGTGAACAAGCGGTGTCAGTTCTTTTATAATCAACATGGAGAGGTGCGCTCCTCCATCCACACAACGACCATTTCGAATGTCTGCAAGACAAGAGAGGTCGACACAGATCAGCTCACCTCACCCCCACCACTGACAGGTGTATCGGTGCGTGGTGATCGACAGCTGGCGTCCGGACCAACTTGCCGAGGGCGAAGTCTTCGGCTGGTAAGCCCGCCACCGTGATCTGCTGAGATGAATGTACTTTAGAGGGGTGTAAATTGCCAGGCAACGGTTCAAATAAAATAACCACAACCCAAAAACCTGACCTGCCAAATTCTTGCCACGCTTGGAGGCTGCCACCATGCTCGCTCGGAGACCACTGTACCAAAGGCCCAATGACCCGACATGCCAGCTGGACTACTTCAGCTTCTACGAAGCAGCTGCCGGCAATGTCCACGTACTCAAGGTCAAACCCCCCCTCTATTTTATTCTTTTTTCTTTTAGTTGCATTAATAAAGAAAAATATAGATATATTCGGTTATTGATCAAATGGTAGTGATGTATATTCATGCACTGCAGGAAGGAGGCCTGCTCAAGCTGTGGAAGAAGTATGGGCTGGTGCTCAAGGAAGGCTTTCTCTACTTCCGCCCGGCGGGATCAGGCGACCCGTCGTCGCCCGAACAGTACAAGTTTGTGATCGCCCTCAACGACTCCTGGAAGTGCGTAGTAGCAGCTCGTTGGCCCCTTGCGTGTGCGTTGATGTGATGATCATCACGTATGAGCTTACACGCCTTACAATCCACACACGATGCGGCTCCAGGGCAATCTACGTGCAGCTGACGTCGCTCACGGGCAAGAAGAACTGCCTGGAGCTGGCGGGCGCGGCGCAGAGCTACTTGGTCTGCTTCGGCAGCGAGGCGGAGCGTGATCGCTGGGTGGGCGCCATCAACGACGCCTGCGCGAGCGTCGGCGATGAGCACAGGCGGCGACAGGAGGTCGAGGCCCGGCTGCGGGCCATGCTCGCCGCACCCTTGCCACCAGCCCATCAATCCTCCTCCTCCTCCTCAAATGAGGTGGTCAACACCACAGAACAAAGCGCGACGACGACCAAGACAAAGAAGAAGAAAAAGAACGAAGCGCGAAGCAGTGGGCGAGATCACAGAGAGGAAGAGTACGACGACGATAGTACATCGGCGAGCGAGCAGTACAGTTCGAGCCAGTATGTGTACAACGAAATGTACGGCCTCTGCGCCGAGGAAGACAGCGACAGCAGGCTCGCCGAGTCTCCGATCCTCGGGCCGAGGCGGTCGGCGCCGACGTCGCACAGCAGCTCGACCTCGGCGAAGCCCAAGAAGGAGAAAAAGGCCAACGGGCGCAAGGGCATCGCCGGGAATGGCCCGGCCAACGTTTCCTACGAGTCTCTCGACAAGGCGATGAGCGGCCACTTCACCTTCGCCAACCGAAGGAAGCAGGCAGAGCAAACAAAGGCAGCGGAGGCGAAGAAGAAGAAAACGGCGGACGGAGATGATGGAGAAGCCAGGGAAGACGATGACGGCTACATATTGGATGTCGATGACGATGACGTCGTGGCCGAGGATGTGGGTACCACGGCCGGCGAGGTGAGCGAGGGCTACATCGACGTTGCCGGCGCGGCTGAGGGCGGCAGGCCAGAGCGACAGCAGCTGGAGGAGAGGAGCGACGAAGCGAACAATCAGTGCTATGCATGGACGCAGGGTGAGGAAGAGGAAGAAGACGAGCAAGAAGAAGAAGAACAGTCCGCGTCGGCCCAGATGACGAAGAAGAAGAGTACAATGAAGAAAGCGACAATGTCAGGCGATGACGAAGCTGAACTGCTCACCGACTGGAACAGCCGGTTTCAGGTCCACACACGCGCCGTGCGGTGCACCGGTGATGGTAGTGAAGAAAGCTCACAGTGTGCTTGTTATCAATTCAGGGCCTGGTGGAACAGATGCGGACGTTCAGCAACAACACGGCCCGCACCTTCAAATACCGGGTCAACAGCCAACTGCTCGCCATCGCCCAGGTGCGCTCGATTTCCAGGCCTGGAACCAGGGCTCACTGACCACCTGACTCTCGATGATGCCCAATCCCGTGTGGGCGTGGTGCTACCAGGACTTTATGTGCTCGGTGAAGCACTACGGCAAGATCATCATCGCCGAGACCCACCTGCCGCCGGAGATCAAGACCATCAAGCCTGCGAGTGCGCACGACCGCCGTCTTCTCTTTTCGTCTCTTTTTTGGTCGCCGCTGATGCTGACCGGCCTTTTGGGCCGCTGACAGGCGAGGTCGGGGGAGTGGCCGGGGGAGTCAAGTACATTGTTCAGAACATCCTGTTCAAGTTCGCAGTCGACTACAAGGGCATCTACGGTAGCGACTACGCAGCTGCCAAGGTAAAACACCTGCTCCGCATTGTGGTCGCTTCAGGTGTTGTCAACAACACGGTGTGTGTCGTGTCGTGTGTGCGTGTGTGTAATGACCAGGTCGCCGGACACGAGCTGAAGGGCGCGGCGTGCTATTTCAATCTGAACTTGGACGTGTGCATACCGTTCATGGCCACGCTCGACTATCGGTGAGTCCGCCTTGCCTTTGTGGGCCGCTCTCCAACTGACAAGGTTGTTTCTTTTTTCCTTTTCTCTTTGGCGGTGCCAGCGGTCATCGGTTGCTGGCCGTCGCGCTGGCGCCCATCAACGACGAGACGCTTGTTTCGGGCACCGGCGATGGAGGGCAGACCGTCAGGAACTCGGACAGCCACCTTGACGGCCTGCTCCAGGTAAGCAGCGTTTCCTTTCGTGCCGCCGCCGGTGTGGTTTGACGTATCACCGCTGACCGGACCGCAGCAAGCCGCTGGGCGATTGAATCTGAGCAGGCACGTGTGCGGCAAGGACGCCAAAGAGCTGTACAGCGTGGCCGATCTGGAGGGCCACCGCGGTACGGCCTCCTTGATGCTCGACTCGATTCCCGCAGGAGGCACACACCAGCCTGACACGGTATTGGAGCAGGGCTCGATGGCAGGTACTACCTGATCGACCTGGCGCGGGTCATGCCGCCCGAGTACCCGTTCGACCGACACATCAAGCAGGGCCACCTGTTCCGCCTTCTGCGACCCGAGTTCGTCCGCAGCCACTGTAAGCACTCTCCCTCGCCGCGTCTTTTATTCTTTAATTGTGTCATTTAATTACGATTTCTATTTCAAGTTGAGCGGATTATGTATTTATTTATTTATTTATTCGATTATTGTTTGATTGATTGGGGCAACTGGGCAGACAAACCGCTGTGTCCCGATGCCTGCAGCGGGTTCATCTTGCACGACCCCAAGCGGGTGGAGCACAATCGCGAGGTCAAGCTGGCGACCAAGGCCCTCTACAACTCCATCATTCCCTCAGTCGCCACCCTACTCACCGAGGAGAGGTTCATTCCCTGCCTTGCGTGCGTGCGTGTCACCAACTAATGGTGATCTTCCAGCGCTCTGAGCGAAGGCGGCGGTCTGGAGGCATTCCTGCATTCCTACGGCGTCAACCTGCGGATGATGGGCTGCGTGCGCGCCGAGGTGCGCAAGATCTTCGCCCAGGCGGAGGAGACGCTGGCGCCTTCCGCGGCTGAGCTCTTGCCCGAGCCGCAGCCGCTGCTCCATAGGAAGGGGTCCGCGGGCAGAAGAGAGAAGGCGACAAAGGAAAAGAGCGAAGACGACGACACCGCAGCGGCGCTCAGGGCGAAACTCGTCGCCGAGGCCGAGCGCAGGCGGCGGCGCGCCCGCGAGGCCGACGTGCTGCTGCTCGTGGAGATGCTGGCGCGGGTCATGAAGGAGATGCTTCTGCGCAGCCTGCGGGCCAAGTCCAAGGCGCTCAAGGTGCCGCTCGAGGAGCCCTATCGCCTCCAGGTGGTGCGGAACCTCAACCGCTTCTTCGGGGTGCGCACCGGCGCCGGCGGCCGGTGGTGGGCCCACAAGGCCCGACGGGCGCTGACGGCCAAGTTCGGCGACCGGGCGCTGCACGACAGCGAGACCGCGCCGGAGTGGTCCCTCGCCGAGTACCTCCGGCGCAACCCGATCGGCGGCAGCAGTGACGAGAACGCCAACTTCCAGCTCCTCTTCGATAAGCTGCAAAAGTACACCGGCCTCGTTCTTCGCCAGGTAAATACGACGTGTGTGTGCGTGTGTGCGTGTGTGTGTGTGCTGTGTCGTGCGATGCGTGTCCGTGTGCGTGTGTGCGTGTGCTGTGTTGTGCGATGCGTGTGTGCGGGGGTTGACCGATTGGATTGGCGACCAGGGGTTTATTCTGGTGATTGGGAGCAAGGACAACTCCCCGAATCCGTTTCAGTCGTTCGATCTCGTCGAGCTGGGCGAACGAGTCAAGTACATGAACGGTTCGGTCTTGACGTCGGTCAGCGCTGATCATTATGCATTGACTTATTGACTTTATTTTTATATATACGAATTGTTATTGTTTTCCCTCAATTCAGTGATCGCCACAGCCGAGGCGTTTCTCTACCAGGCCGCCAGCGAACAGGCCAAGGGCATTAAGCGGCAGCAGTTCCTCGAACTGGCGGCAGAGAAATACTTGGTGGCCATCAGGTTCGAACCCGCACTCCTGCTAGTGTCGTGTTGGAGGCTGGGGGTGCTGGTGATGGCTGATCCACCACACGTGGTGCGCAGTGCCAATCCGCAGTCGGTGGAGGCGCTTCGGCAGATGGCCAGCACGTGTGTCGCGCTCGTGGAGGAGACCAAAGACACGGATCGCAGGGTGGAGCTCATGAAGCGGGCCAAGAAGTACTATCAGTGGTCCCTCTCCATCTTCCCCAAAGACCCTCAGGTTTCTCTCCTTTTCTTGTCATCATCGCCTCATACCGCACACGCACACGCACACGCACCTGCCACCGCACACGCACACGCACACGCACCACCGCACACACGACTGATGCTGGATTATTGCGGCAGACATTGTACGCACTGGGTCAGCTGCAGCGGATGATGGGCAACTTCCAGGCGGGCGCCGAGCTCTTGCTGCGAGCGCTGGAGTTGGACCCCAACTTCCACTACTGCCTGCGGTCCTACGCCGAGCTGCTCTACCACACCGAGGCCCAGCTCGCCGAGCTCGTCTACGCCCGAGCGCGCCAATGCCTCCTCGATCGAGGCAGTGGTGGCGGCACTGAAGACGGCGACCACGACTGACCTCCGCCACCGTGGTAGGAGAATAAATATATATATTACACAAGCAATTATTTTTATTTCTTTTGTATTTATTTGTCTGGTGGTCTGATGGAGAAGCTGGAGAGCAACGAGGAGGCCGGAGCCCTGCCGCTGCGAGTAGAGGCGCTGCCGACTGAGGGGCAGCTGTGGGCCGCGGTCCGGTTGTTCCTGGTGGCCCACATGCCCCACTCCTGGAAGCTCCTCGGTACCTCTCGTGCCCCCCCCCCTTGCGAAGACCCGATGCTGACGTCAGCATTCCACGCGCGGCCACCAGGGACGGTCCTGCGTGCCGAGGCGGCCAAGGGAGCCCTGGTGCCGCGCGACGGCGACCACCAGTGGTTCGTGGCCAAGTGCGGCGACGAACTCCGGGGCGTGCTGCTGGTGATGCCGCTGGTCAAGAGCGGAGGCGCGGCATCGTCCGTGAACGTGTCCGTGTTCGTGCCGCCGCAGCAGCAGCACGGCGAGGCGGTGTTGCGGGCGCTGCTGGACAGGGTCGAGTTGACGACGACCGGGGCCGCTGGTGGGCTGTGCGGCGAGGTCCGCTTCGCCGGGCTCGACAAGGCGTGGCTGCCCCTCGTGCGCGAGCGTGCGGCGGCGGCCGGCGCGCAAGAGTCGTGGTTCAACCCGTGTCTCGCGCTCCACTGCCCCGAGGCCCGCTTCGTGCGGCCCGCGCAGTCCGACTCAGCGGCTCACCTCCGCGCCCAGTCGCTCCGGCTCGACTCCATTGCGGCCGGTACCACTCTCCGCCCGATCGCGCCTCACGCACGGCACCTGTCCACTCTGCGCCTTCGCTGCTGACCGCGCTTTGATAGATTCGGCGGACACGCACACGGTCGTGTCGAAGTGGAAGTACGCCAGCGAGGAGAGCGACGACTACATCGCCGCGTGCGTGGGGCACGCGCCTTCATCGTGCCTTCGGCAGGGTACGTCGTAGTCGCTGATCTGAACTGAGCCGCGCCCTGCGCTGACTGGTACTGTACTTGGCAACGTTGCACAGGCGATGAGATGGTGGCCTGGATTGGGGTGCACGCCGACATGTCCCTCGGCTTCTTCTGGGTGCAGGAGTCCCACAGGCGGAAAGGTACGCTCAGCCCGGACCCAGGAGTGGTTTATAATACGCCTCCCCCCCTCGGACACAGTACCAGAGGTGGTGGAGTGCTGACGTGGCGTGGGCACTTCCAGGACTTGGGAAGATCTTGGCGGTGGACCAGGTGCTGAAGACCTTCGACTACGTGCGGCCGCACCTCGAGGCGGACCAAGTGGGGGCCTACTTCTTCACCGAGGCCGTCAACGACGCCTCCAAGAGCCTGTTCCAGAGCCTCGGCTTCGAGGTCTGCACTTCGCCTCTCTGCCATGCTCGCGCCTGGTGTGCTGTGCTGACCGACGAGTTCGGCGCCACGGCCGTGTGATCTGACAGATCTTCAGCGAAGTCTTCTGGATTGCGTTCAAGCCCTCCTCCGGGGCGGAGGCTAGCGCGCAGCCGCCGGCCAGGAAGGAGATGGCGAAGGTGAACCTCGCGGAGAAACTGGCCCTCTTCAGCGAGCACTGGAGCCCCAAAATCGTGGGCGAGGTACTGCTTCGCCTACTCCGCACGCACACGCACACGCACTAACGCTCGAGTCCATGGTGGTGGCCAATGCCACTCAGGTGGACAATTTCGATGTCAAGGTGGCCAAGCTGAAGGGCGAGTTCGTGTGGCACCACCACGAGCACGAGGACGAGCTGTTCCTCATCATCAAGGTGCAGCACTCCGATTGTTCCTCGTTGTAGCACCCGCGCCTTCAATCAGTTCACGGAGCGTGTGCGATGTGTGTGTGTGCGTGCAATGCGCGCGATCGTGTAGGGCAATCTGGTCATCAAGGTGCGTGAGCAAGACGGGAGCGAGAGGGACATCGACCTGCACGAGGGCGATTTCTTCGTCGTACCCAAGGGCGTCGAGCACAAGCCCGTGGCCGCCGAAGAGGTTCTCGCCCCGCCCTTCTGTGTGTCCCGTCAGCGCGATGAGCCTCACCTCCCCCCCTCTCTCTCTCTCTTTCATACGTCATGTGCGCAGTGTCACGTGATGTTGCTGGAGAAGCGCGGCGTGCTCAACACTGGCAATGTGCGCAGCCAGCACACTGTGGACAACCTCCAGCGGCTCTAGAGCCACGGGCTACCTCCGGCTCTCTGGTATTGTTATTTGTTTTGCACACAAGGCAAGATAAAGGGAGAGACAGGATGATGGAGATCCGCGACGTTATAGATGAGGATGAAGCTGGTCTGGGTGGCAGGGGTGGCGAGGTGGGGCTGCCGCCGGAGCTGTGGCAGTGCGTGTTCGATTGGGTGGACACGTGGAAGGGTCTGGGCAGCGTGAGTCGCGTGTGCCGTGCCTTTCACGACCTCGCCCTCCTGCAGATCAAGCGACGACGTCTCGCCTTCGAGACGCGGCGTACGTACTCGCTTGTTGCCTCCCCCCCCAAATCTCCATCTGAATCTGGGAATCTAGGAATTTGAATTCATCTGCAGAACTTATGCATGTGCTCATCCACAGTGGCCGAGGGAGACCTGCGGTGGAAGCGGGTGGCGTGCGTGGGCACGCCAGCCCCTGACCTTCGCTTGTACGACCGCTCCCTGGCGGCTCTGTGTACGAATGATGCAATGACGTGCTCAGACCAAGGTGCGCCATCACAGGGAGGAACTACGCGGAGAGGACGAGGACGAGGAGCAGAGAGACTACTTTGCCCACTCGCTGACGCTTCTCTATCGCCAGCCACACGAGCTCCTCCGGTACAGCCACACGCGTGCGCGCCCTCGATTGTGTGACGTACACGAGCGTGTGCGCACATTCATTCGTGATGAGTGTCTGATGCATTACCAATGGTTTAGGGACATGGAAGGGCCGCTGCTGGCCAGGTACGGGGGCTCGTTCTACATGGGAGGCAACGTCTACGACATGATCTTCTCACCCGCGATGTTCTTCTACAAATTCGGTACGCTACCGAGAGCGATTGAATCACACACACCACACACACACACACACACCAAGCACAGCTAGTCCCAAAAGCATGACGTGTCTGTGTGTCATTTGGTGCCTGGGCGAACAGGCAAGGCCTCATGGCACCGCGTGGATCTTGTGGCCAAGGAGGGCGCCTGGGCTCCCAAGCGCCGTTCGTTCGCTTCGACACACCTCATCAACAAGGGCACCCAGATTCTGTTCTTTGGCGGGCAGGTACGACGAACGTAGATCGTTTTTTTGTTGGCGATGGCACACTCAAGCTCAAGATCCGATGGTACTGCCGCAGTATCGAAACAGGTTCTCGCTTCCGCTGGACGGCCACCCAGAGGGGTGGAAGTTCTACAACGACGCGTTCCTTTTCGACCTACGCCAGCTCGCATGGATACCGCTGGCCTGCAAGGGAACACCGCCCCACGGCCGGGTCGGTCACAGGTGTGTGCAGACCCATCCAGGCGTGCTGCGTGTCGCGTGTCGCCTGCTCTCTTACTCACTTCTTTTCTTGATTTGCAAAGGTCTGTTGTCATAGAGCGCAAGATGTGGATCTTCGGAGGCACGTACATGGATGCAGACTTCACCTACCACTATTTTGACGACGTCTGGACGCTTGACTTGGGTATCCAGCCGCATAATCACCGCACAACATAATCGCACTCACTCAACTTTGGCGCACCAAGCCATGCCTGCATGGCTGAACTGACCCTGTGTGCTTATGCACGTGGGTGGTGGTGGTGGGCACAGACACGCTGCAATGGACAAAGGAGCAGGTCACCGGAGAGGCCCCGCAAGCCCGACAGAGCCACTCGCTGTGCCGCATTCCCAACACCACGCAAGCCCTTCTCTGGGGCGGCAACGCCGAGGTGCTCAGCTCCAAGCGGGACCTGAACGACTGCTACATCCTCGACACCGGTACACACCCTTGCCTGTCGCCCCCCCCCCCTCCTCCCAATTTACACTCACCGTACCGACCACGTGTGCGCAGCTGCCAAGACGTGGACAAAAGTGGAGTACGCCAACAAGGACTCGGACGCAGTTCCGTGCGGCCGGTGGTGCCACTCGTCCTTCATCGTCGGCCGATCGCTGGTAGGGAGAGCCCCCCCCCCCGCAACGCGAATGTCGTCCATTCGCTTCGCACACAAGATGCACGTGACAACTGAGTTCATGTGTGTTCCCTGGTTCTTCGAAAGGTTGTCATGGGCGGCTTCAGGCGTGCAGATCCGAAACTCACGCTGCGACAGATATGGGTGCTCAATATCGACCGTCGGGAGTGGCGGAAGCACGACGTCCCGCTCCATCCCTCGGTCTTCGGCGACTTGCCGCAAGCCGAGCGCAGAAGCATGCTCGAGCGGAGCGTCTCCTTCCAGGGCGCCGCCATGGGCATCGAGCAGATCTACCTCTTTGGAGGTATACCGCCGTCTTCATCGTCATCGTCGCGCATGACCTCTTCAAGATCTGACTTTGACTCATCACCGTCCCTATGATGGCATCACGTCAGCAGGCACCAAAGATCACGGCCTATGGATCCTCGAGTGACCTGGACCAAGCCCTGTTTCCGCAGCCTTCCAGTGAAACGATTTATTGTCGACTCTGTTAAGCCGTGCTGGTGGCTGTTGGGTCCCAACAGTGGCTTCTGTCGGTCCATCGCAGGCCGTGGCAGCCACGGCTCAGCTCGGTGGGACCCGTAGAAGTGTTTCGCGGTGGTGGTGGTGGCTGCGCAGTGCTCACAACCCCCACACAGGCGCCACGTGCGGGAGGAATCAAAAAAGAAATAAATTGGAACACGAGAAAATGGTCGGAAAGGAGTTTCGGGTGTGAAAGTCCGAGGAAGGCTGTGGCGCGGAAACGGACGGGCGGCGTTGTGGAGTATTGTTCGCTCTCTCGCTCCCGTTCTTGACGCTCACACCCTGACGTCGGCCATCTCTGAATCAAACACACATACACAACCCGTACGCACACGCAAGAAGAAGATGGGTAAGGACGCAGTCAAGGAGAAGGTGGCGACGACCAAGAAGCGAACGATCGCCGAGAAGGAGGAGAATGAAGACGTCGGAACGGTGGTGAAGAAGGAGGAACCTGAGAAGAAGAAGAGGAAGACGTCGAAGAAGGACGACACCTCGACGGACAAGAAGAAGAAGTCCAAGAAGTCCAAGGACGAGGTATCTTTTTGTTTCTCCGTCCCCTTGATTTAATCTTCATCTTCGTTTTTCCCCCTATGATGCTTAATCTCTGTGATTTTCTATTTCGCCACAGGGAAAGGCCAAGGAGGATGAGATGGAGGTGATTCAGAAAGGTACCATTCCTTCTTGTTCTTCATCTCCGTATTTTTCCCTTCACCAGAATTATTTTTACTTTGCCCACAAGACCGTTGCGCGTTTCATCTTCTGAGCAATCTCTCAAGAAAGATTGGCGAAACAAAATCATCAAAATCTCATCTTTCTGGTGTTAGACGACAATTCGACGCCAACTCCGCCTCTGGGTGTCTTTTATCTAATCGCTCACTTCACAAACAGAAACCGAAGAAGAGGGAGAGGAGACAAAGCCCGACGAGGACAGCGAGGGCGACTACACATGGGACGACGTGGCCGAGAAGGAAAAGGAGAAGGAGGAGCCGCTGCCAGGTACCAATTCGAAATCACTTTTTATTTACGTTTTTATTTTATTTATTATTGAATTATTTATTGATGACTGTTTTTCTCCGCGCGCCAAACAGAGGGCGCTAAGCCGTTCTCCGACTTCCGCATCTCGCCCACCACCGTCAAGCTGCTGCAGGACCGTGGCTTCAAGTGCCTGTTCGCCATCCAGGCGCAGACCTACGATCACATCTACGACGGCAAGGACATCATCGGCCGCGCCCGCACCGGCAGCGGCAAGACCCTCTCGTTCGTGCTGCCCGTCGTCGAGAAGATCTTCATCGACATGGCCGGCAAGCCCCGCTCCACCTACGGCCGCCCGCCCAAGGTGGTGTGCCTGTCGCCCACCCGCGAGCTCGCCCGCCAGATCGCCAAGGAGTTCGACCTGGTGGCGCCCAGCCTCAAGGCCGTCTGCGTCTACGGCGGTGCGCCCTACACGCCCCAGGAGAACGCCCTCAAGCGCGGCGTCGACATCGTCATCGGCACGCCCGGCCGCGTGATCGACATGCTCGACCGCAACTGCCTCAAGCTCACCGACGTCAAGTACGTCATCCTCGACGAGGCCGACGAGATGCTCAACATCGGCTTTGCCGACGCCGTCGACAAGATCCTGGCCTCGGCGCCCAAGCCCGACGAGAGGCAGACCCTGCTCTTCTCCGCCACCATTCCCCCGTGGGTGCAGGGCATCGCCCAGAAGCACATGCGCCCCTCGAACCTGATCACCGTCGATCTGGTCGGCAACAGCAAGCTCAAGGCCGCCCTGACCGTGCGCCACCTGGCCATCTGCTGCCCGCCGCCCGTGCGCATCTCCACCATGGCCGACGTCGTCAAGGTCTACGCCGGCACCGGACGGACCATCGTCTTCGCCAACACCAAGGCCGAGGTCAACGAGCTCGCCATGAAGTCTTCCATTTCCAATGGTGCGCACTCTTTTCCTCCCTCCCTCTCTCTCGCTAGTGCGCGTGCCGTTGCTCTCGTGTACGGGCAGGTGATGACACCAAATTTATTCATGCGCGTAATCTGAGGCGTCGCGCTCCCAGCGAGGGCGGAGTTTTTCTTCCCTCGCACACGGAGCGCCTCGCACAAGATCACAACTCATACCATCTGACAAACGTCCCACACAACATCGACATCTAGATGTGCAGTCACACAGTCGCGTTCGGTGATATTCTTCTAATTCGTTGTGTTTTGTATATTACAGTGTGCCAAGTGCTCCACGGCGACATTGCCCAGAAGCAGAGGGAGATCACGCTCCAGGGCTTCCGCGAGGGTCGGTTCTCGTGCCTGGTGGCCACCGACGTGGCCGCGAGGGGTCTCGACATCGACGACGTCGACCTGGTCATCCAGACGCAGGCCCCCAAGGACAAGGAGACCTACATTCACAGGAGCGGCCGAACCGGTCGCGCCGGCAAGTCGGGCATCTGCGTGACCTTCTTCACGCGACGGGACGTGCGCGACGGCAACCTCAAGTGGCTCGAGTCGGCGGTGGGCGCCAAGTTCGAGCTCATCGGCACGCCGCAGCAGCCTGATCTCATCCGAGTCGCCACCGACGCCGTCGAGGAGAAGCTCGAGCACGTGCACGACGAAATGATCAAGGCCTTCCTGCCCTCGGCCGAGAAGCTCATCCAGGAGAAGGGCGAGAACGAGGCCCTGGCCGCCGCGCTGGCCGTCATCTCGGGCTACACCCAGCCCCTCCAGAAGCGATCGCTCCTCTCCTCCACCGAGGGCTACTCCACCGTCCTTCTCAAGAACTCGCTCCCCATCCGCGGCGTCGGCTGGGTCTTCATGATCATCAAGAAGTTCCTCGGCGACGAGATCGAGGGCCAGGTCAAGGACATCGAGTTCTGCCAGGACGAGCACTGCGCCGTGGCCGAGCTCCCGCAGGCCCTGGCCGTCAAGCTGGTCGAATCGCGCGGCATCCCCAACGGCCTCGAGATCACCATCCCCAACGAGATCCCTCCGCTCAAGGAGAACCAGCGCGCCGGCGGCGGGGGCCGAGGCGGCGGCTACGGCGGCGGCTACGGCGGCGGACGAGGCGGGCGAAGTGGCGGATACGGCGGCGGACGAGGAGGCGGACGGTCGTACGGTGGTGGAGGCGGCTACGGCGGTGGCGGTCGCAGCTATGGCGGCGGCGGTCGTGGTGGCGGCGGCTATGGTGGTGGTCGGGGTGGTGGCTTCCGAGGCGGCAGGCGCTGAGCGCGCGTGTGTTGTTTCTTTCCGTCGGAACACCAAACAATTTTCCTTTTTACAAATACCACGCATTCCATTCGTTTGTCCACAGAAAACAGGGAAATGACAAAGAAAAACAAGCAAAATGAGAAAAATCAAGATCTAAACGGCTCGATTGGCGAGAGAAGATGGCAGATCGAGGCGTGGGGCTGTTGTGTCCGCTCATCAAGCAGCACATTGGCCGCCTCGGTGGCGACTACCACAAAGACGGACCCTGGGCGAAGGTAGAGGAAGACACAGCGATTGTCATTGACGAACCGGCGCCCCTTCCCGCTACCCAATTCCCATCAGTTGAAGAATCGGTGGCGCCATCAGTCTCCTCATCTGCAAATCAAACGGCGACGTACAGTCCACCAAAAAGCAAGAGCGAAAATGGCGAAGTAATCTCTTCATCTGCCAAGATGTCTGCTGAAAGCGTCGAGATGCCGGACCTCAGCGCCCCCTTCGTGATTAATCACCAGCCCACCACCGCACCGACCACTGCCGCGCCTGCTGCCCCAAGCGAATGCGTCTCGCTCCCACCAGCAGCCGAGGTCACCGCCGTCACGACCACCACACCCTCGGCCTCTGAGGCCGCCCCAGCCCCAGCTCCAGCTCCAGCCGAAGCGGCGCCGGCGGCAGCACCCGCGCAAGACCTCGGCCGCAGCGACGTGGTCAAGATGGAAGTGGAGGCACCTGCACCCGCGCCAGCGCCAGCACAAGAGCCAGCGCCAACGACGGCCGCGCAAACAGAGCCACCGGCGCCGACCAAGACAGAAGACACGATGGAGCTGGAGGCCCCGGCACCAGCAGCGCCTGCACCGGCGCAAGCACCCGCAGCGGCCCTGGACGCCGCGCCCGTGGAGTCGACACCGGCGGTGGCGGTGGCGGTGGAGCAGGTACCGGCCGCACAGACAGCGAAGACGGAAGAGAAGGTGGTGGAGGTGGTGGAGGCGGCGGTGCCCGCGGGGCTAACGGAGCCGACGGGCGCCGTGCCGGTACCGTCGGTGTCGAGCGGCGAGCAGCCGGCTGGCGACCATGGCATGGTGGTCAAGATCGAGGAGCCCAGCGGCGGTGCGGCGCCTGTGGCCCGCGAAGCTGAAGCAGCAGTGCCGGCGCCGGTCACAACGACAACGCCGATGGGAGCGACAACGGCGACTCCAACGGAAGCAACGACAACGCCGATGCCGACGCCGATGCCGACGACGCCGGTGAACGTGGAGATGAGCAACATATCGATCTCGTCCGACCTGCCCACCACGGCCTTCACCACGACGCTCAAGGAGGAATTCGTGGAGTCGGCCAGCTCGACCACCGAAAACACGCCGCTCCCGTCGCCGCAGCGCACCGCGGCCGGTGCCACCTTCGCCGCGCCGTCGGCTTCGGCTTCGCGACCGCAGATCATCATCGAAGACGGCTCCTTCCTCTCGTCTCAATTCGCGTCGGGCGCAGCGTCGCACTCCCCGTCTTCATCGCTCGGCGCGCCGCAAGCCGCTGCTGCTGACGAAGCGATGATGGCCGACGGCTCGGGCGGTGCGAGAGCGGGCCGGAGCGGCGCCGGCAGGGCCAGCAGGAAGAGGGAGGGCGGCGAGATCAAGGAGGAGGCCGCGGGGGTCGGCCACAGCAGAGAGCGGCGCGACTCGAAGCGACAGAGGACCAGCTTCAGCGGGCCCTCGTCGCGATCGGCGAGCGGTCGTCGGTCCATGACCGGCGAAAGCAACGGCGCCGACGACAGTACGAGCTCAGCCCCACGACGCGACTCTTCCTTCTCTGAGTGTCTCACCACCACCACCACACAGTTGATGATGTGGGGAGACACTTGCAGGTGATGAAGTACAACCAGGAGGCCCTCAACCAGCGCAAGGCGCAGATGGGCCATTTCCAGCAGACGCTCAGTGCCACGGGCGGCGGCGGCCTCGCGGCGCCCTTCCCGCACCTGCTGGCTCACTCGCCCACCACCAGCGGTTCGCCGGCGTCCGAGGTCTCAAACCTGCGGCGGCAGCGAGTGCTCGAGGGTCTGCCCGAACCCATCAACAGCTTCATGTGCAACGTACAGTGGCCAGAGGGTGTCACATACAAGAAGGTACGTGTGTGTGTGTGTGTGTGTGTTGTCGCTCACGTGTCGCTCACTCGATCGCTACAGCTCTCGGCGTCAGGACACGTGGACTACGTGCAGTACAACCGCATCTCGTTCTTCTCGGGCCTGTCGTCCTGCTACGAGGCGCTGGAGTGCATCGACCTCAGCCTGTACAAGCAGTGCCGCAATGGCTCCACCTACGTGCTCCCCATTGGTATGACGACACAACACAGTTGCTCGCTCGCTCTCGTCTGACGCGCAGCTGCTCTTGTTGCGCATTCCTCGAATCGTTGTTGTTGTTACCACAGGCAAGTGCATCTCGTACGAAGACAAGGCGCCGCATTGGTTGATCATGTCCATCGTCGACACCGACGATCCGACCCTCATCATCGTCAACGCCAGGTCTCTCCTCCCCTCATCCACCCACTCCCTGTGTGTCGTTGGTCGAGTCGTTGGTCGTGTCAAGTTTATTGACTCGCTGTACGCAGCCCGTCGGTCTCGAGTGCGCCGCCACCGCAGCCGCCTGCGGGCGCACCCTCGCCCGGCCTCGCCCCGGCGCCTCTTGGCAACGCGCCGCCGGGCGTTTTGCCGGCGGGTTCTCCCTCCCTGCCCGGCATGTCGGGAAACCTCAGCGCCTCGCCGCAGTCCGCCCTCGGCCTGGCATCGACGCCCGGCGCGCCCGGCTCGACCACGTCCGTCGATGAAAGTCTCCTGTCCAGCAGTACGTGGTCCATCATCGCATAACGCACAAGCTTGTGATGCTCGCTTCGCTGACTGGCTGGCCTTGTCACTGACATGGACGTGGTTGTGTGCTGTGTGCTGTGCTGTGTGCTGTGTGCTGTGTGCTGTGTGCTGTGTGCTGTGTGTGTGCACCGGTGAAGGCACGGGCGATGATGCCTCCTCTTTTTCGGACAACCTGGTGGCCCAGTACCTCTCGCACTTCCTGGCCTACCTCGAGCCCGAGCCCTCCGACGACAAATCGTACCGTTCCTCCCTCAACATACTGTATATTGTTATTTTTTGAACTATTTTCGTATTATATATCTATTTATTTTTATATTAATTAACAATGTCGTGTCGTTGTGTGCGTGCACTTGGACAGGGGCGAAGAGGAGAATCGCACCTACTACACCCTCGAGGATGCCTTTGACGCCGTGTCCACTTCCGCGCGACCCACCAAGACATTCCGTACATTCCTTGCTTTCTTTCTTTCTCTCCTCATTCAGCCTGCATATTGACTTTGTTGTTGGTGTGCGCTGGCAGGACCGGCCTCGCCCAACATTCCCTCGGGGGGCAGCGCCTATGCCTCGTCGGCCTACGGCCAGGAGCAAACGAACAACTCCATCTTCGACATGCCGCCGGTGTCGCCTTCTTCTTCGTCTTCGATGACCATGCCCGGCGGCGGCGGCGGCGTCACGCTGTCGTCGACCGACCTGCGCGCACCGCCCACCGATGGCCTGCCCGGCCACCCGTCGCCCATGTCGTACCATCACCATCACCACCACCACGTAGCCTCGGCACCGTCGTCGTCGTCGCAACTCCCGCCCGCCGCGCAGCCACAGCCGCACCCCTACGCCTCCGCACCATCGTCGTCGTCGTCGGGATTCGGCATCTTCACACCGCCGGCGCTCGGGTCCCTCGACGACCACCTTCTCAAGATGCAGAGCGGTACCACTTCTCGCCCTTTGTCGCGTCGTTGGTCGTGTCGCGTCGTGTCGTAATCGTGCTAACGGACCTTGCAGGCAATGTCAACCCACATTCGGGGTACCCGTCCCACCTGTCACCCTCGTCTCACCTCACTTCCGCCGCCGCCACCAGCACCTCTTCTTCTTTTTCCTCCTCTTCAGCTCCTTCACAGCTTCCGCCACCACCCGCGTCGCCTTACTCATCGCACCTCTTCAGTTCGTACACCTCCACCACCTCCGCCTCCACCACCGCCAGCAGCAGCCACGCCGGCGGTGTCGGTGATGCGTCCCTGGTGTCGCCCTCGGGCGGCGCCGCAGCCACGGGGTCCTACCCCTCGTCGGGCATAGGACCTGCCGGCGGGTCCTATTCCTCCTCGCCCTATCCGGTCAGCTTGGCCTCGGCCTCCCCCTCCGACCACGGCGTACTTGAGCGAACCGCCGAGGCTACCGACAGCTTCAAAGGTAACGCGCCACCGCACACGCGCGCACGCGCACACGCGAACACGTACATTTACGCCTAACGCTCCGGTGGAACGCAGTGCTTCGGCTCAACCTGAACAAACAATACATCCCTTCGCTGCCTCCGATGATCGGTACGCGCATCTCTCTCTGTGTGTGTCGTGTGTCGTGTGTCGTGTGTCGTGTGTGTGACGACGGGAAGGCTGGCCAGCTGTGTGTGGGGCCAAGAGACTCACACTAGCGCGGTTGATCGTGGGCCACCAAAAACGCGAACGCGCAGGGCGACTGCGATTCCTGCAGACGATCAACCTGCGGCGCAACCACCTGCAGGAGCTGCCCGCCGAGTTTGGCGAGCTGCGCGATCTGCAGTACCTCACGCTCAGCTTCAACCGCCTCCAGAGACTTCCCGGTAATTCCACATACAACGCACGCGTGTCGTGTCGTGTCGTGTCATGTCGTGTGCGCACGAGCAGAGCTAACCGAGTGGGCTCTCTCCAGACACGTTTGGGAATCTCACGAATCTGCGCATGCTGGACCTCCACTCGAACAAGCTGACGCGGCTGCCGGACTCGTTCGTCAAGCTCGGGCGCCTGGAGTACCTCACCGTCTCGTACAATCAGCTCAACTCGCTGCCGCGCGGGTTCGGCGACCACTTCCACCGCCTCGAGTTCCTCAACCTCGAGAACAACCAACTCAGTTCTCCGCCCAGCAGCGGTACACGCCGCACACGCACGCGCCGCACACGCACACGCCGCACGCACCGATTGAAACGTTGTCTCACGTTCGCGCGATCGATCGGTCGATTTGCTGCAGAGGGCCTTCTGATGCCGATGGCAAACGAAGACGACGATGGGAACACGCACTCGCTGGTCATCACCCCGCAAAGCAATTTCAGCTCCCTCATCACCCTGCGCGTGGGCTGCAACCAGCTCACCACCTTCCCACCCGGTACGGCACCACCGCCCCAACACTGCAATTTTTACTTTTGTTCTGGTTTGGTTTGTTTTGTTGTGTTTGTTGACGACGACGGTGGTGGTGATGATTCGACGACGCAGGGCTGTGCGACTACGTGACGACGCTGCACGAGTTGAACCTCTCGCGAAACCAGATCAGCTACATACCGCCCGCCATCACCAACCTGACCAACCTGCGGCTCCTCTACCTCGGGGTACCCACCACCGCCCACCACCCACCACCGCCCCCCGCCGCTCACCACGTGATCGATCAACCACCAGGTCAATCCGATCGAGGTGATACCGCGCAGCATCGGCGTGCTCGAGAACCTCTACGTGCTGGGCATCCACCAGACGTTCATCGCCGACCTGCCCGAAGAGCTGACGCTTCTCCACAACCTCGAGACCCTCTACCTCCGCAAGAACGCCTTCCGGTACGTGTGCAAATAAATAAATATATTATATTATATTATTATGTAACATTATAAATTTATTGTTATTATGGATTATTAATAATTTTTTTCTTATTTCTTATTCTTATTTTATGACGGACGACACAGGGTGCTGCCGGACGTGATCTTCCAGATGACAATGCTCCGCAAGCTCGACCTCAACTTCATTCGCATGACCAACCTGCCGGGCGAGATCGGCCAGCTCACCAACCTCGAGGTACGCGCCCCCCTTCTCCCTCTCCGCGCGCGCAAGCCCATGCCCGGGAGAAGCGATCTGAATTGCATTGGTATTGCTTCGCGAGCAGATCCTGCAGCTGCGCGAGACGATGATCAAGGTCCTGCCGCGCGAGATCACCAACCTCAGGAAGCTGACCGACCTCGACCTCAGCCTCAACAACATGACCACCGGTACACCACACACGCTCGCACGCACGCACACGACGGTCACCACTGACACCTCTGCTCTGGGCCTCTCTCGTGTCATCCAGTGCCGGAGGAGGTGCTCGAGCTAGCCAACCTCCGCACGCTGGAGATCATGTACAACCACCTCCAGACCCTGCCGCCCGAGCTCGGCAACAAGCTGGGCCGATTAAAGAACCTGGACGTGAGCCACAACAAGCTTACCAAGCTGCCCCCGTCCATCGCCAAGTACGCACCTGTGTGTGTGTGTGTGTCGTGCGTGTGTGTCGTGCGTGTGTGTCGTGCGTGCGTGCATTGAACTTACAGAATCGTGTGTGCGGAACACGCAGGTTGGTGGAGTTGCGTCAGCTGGATTTGTCGTGCAACAAGCTGCCGCACATCCCCGAGGAGGTGCTCCGGCTGCCGCACCTCAAGTTCCTCTCCTTCGGCTACAACAAGCTCACCAACGACGAGAAGAAGACCCTCAAGAAGCGCTTCAAGGACTGAAGCAGGGGACCATTCAGTACATGTGGTCCATTCAGCACCTCCACTTTCGCTCAACAAACAGAAAGCCCAAACGATTGGCCAATTCACCACACGACACACGACACGCGCCGTGCACATTGTTTTATATTTTTTTTTACACGCCGTACATGCGTCGGGTGTTGTCGCGCGCGGCTTGGAGCACCTGCGCGAGCGGCATGCCCTTGAGCTCGCCCACCTTCTTCGCAATGAACGGCACATGGCCCGAGTGGCACACCTTGCCCCTGCACGCGCCACACACAATAAATGATACACGCGTGACACACACGACACACATATGGCTGTTGGTCTGTACCGATAGGGGGCTGGGGTCATGTAGGGTCCGTCTGTCTCGAGGAGGATGCGCTCGAGCGGCACATGTCGTACCACCTCGCTCAGGTCGCTGGCGCCAAACGTGATCACCTGTGAAGAATGACGCATTGTTTGCATTCACAAGATTCCGACGATGGTGGTTGGTGGTGGCTGGTGGAGCAGGAAGCGGTGGAGGAAACGCACCCCGGTGTAGCCGATGAAGAGGTTGGGCCACTCGTCGAGCAGCGACTTGGCCATGTCCAAGGAGGACGTGAAGCAGTGGACATGCACCCGCCACTCCTTCGGCACGTGCTCCTTCATTATCTTTAAGGTGTCTGTCGCCACTCCATCAGCACCTCGCACGACACACGACACGACACGACCAACGACACGACACGACGACACACGCGACTTACCCTCTTCGGCCTCTCGGGTGTGGATGACGAGAGGTTTGTTGTGTTGGACGGCCAGCTGTATCTGGCGCGCGAACACTTGTCGCTGCGTGGCGGGATCGGACAGGTTGTAGTGGTAGTCGAGCCCGATCTCGCCCCAGGCCAGCGTCTTGGGCAGAGCCATCGCCTCCACCAGCTCCCGCTCCACTTCGTCGGTGTACGTCTGCGCCTGCCATTCACATGTGTGTCAGCCGCCACCGCACACGCACGCACACGCACACGCACACGCACACGCACACGCACACGCACGAACCACGTGAGGGTGAATGCCGAAGGCGGCGTAGACGTCGTCGAAGTGGAGCAGCTGCCGCACGGGCTCGATGGAGCCGACGTCGGCGCTCACCGTCACGCAGCCGCCGAATCCGTTCCTGAAGTACTCGCCACGGAAGGCGGGGAAGCCCTCCAGCTCCACCTTGAACTGTTGATATTTCAAATATATAAATAAAATGATTAATCCATATATAGATAATTTAGGTAAACAAATCAATAAATCGTTGGTTTAAAAGTGCGTACGCGAGGAAGGATTTGGTCGAGGTGGGTGTGGGTGTCGAAGTAGGGCGTGAGGCCCTCCATCTCGGGCAGGTTGGGGATGGCTGGCTGCGCTTGCTCCTTCTTCTTTTTGCTCGATTGTGCATTCGATTTCTGTGGTGCTGCGGCAGGTGTCGATGCCGTTGTTGAGAGTGCCGCTGCGCCGCCAGTGCAGCCACACTCTCCGAGAAGGGCAGATGAAGTGCTTGCCGGGGTTGCCATCTTGAGGAATCCCGCCGTTGCTCTCCGCATCGATCTCCGGTACGAACAGAATAAAAAGTAAAATCATGAAAAACTCTGTATTTTCGTGTTGTCGATTCTGTGGGTGTGGCTCTGCTGTAGGATGAAGAAACTTCTGAATGATCCCACCAAAGTGGTGCGTTGAGCGATTTTATGCATTATTTATTACTTCATCTTCTTCTGCTCCACTGGGGGGGGGGGCAATACACTGACCACGGGTGGCACAGGTGGAGGAGATGATCGAGGGACTGGTGTGGAGCCGGCCCAGTCTGCTCAAGCTACACGACCACAACGTCGTGGTGCGGCGCGACATGGCGGAGGACGCCGCGCTACGCGACCAGCGAGTGGCCTTGGTCAGCGGTACTGCTACTACCACCGCCTCCTGCGTCCGCGTGCCACTTGTCGCTTGCCAGTCAGCTGACTTATCTTCATCTTCAAAACATTGAAGGTGGCGGCAGCGGACATGAACCCGCCCATGCCGGGTTCGTTGGACAGGGCCTTCTATCGGCCGCAGTGGCGGGTGATGTGTTCACGAGCCCGGCGCCCGACGCCATTGTTGCGGCCATCAAGGCGGTCACCGGCTCGAAGGGCTGCCTGCTCATCGTGAAGAACTACACCGGCGACCGCCTCAACTTTGGCCTCGCGGCCGAGATCGCCCGCTCGGAGGTAGCTTGCCATTATTACCACCACCGCCTACCACCATCGAGGCATTGATCGAGGTGCACCGCTGGATCGGGTCGTGAGAGCACCAACTCAAGCTCACGCCTTTCAATCACATCAACACACTCCAGGGCCTGCAAGTCAATATCGTGACGTGGCTCGACGACGTCGCCTTGGCATCGGACGACTCCGCAACAGGCCGCAGGGGCATTGCTGGCACGGTGCTGGTGCACAAGCTCGCCGGAGCCGCGGCGGAGGAGGGCAAGTCCCTGGAGGAGGTCACTCGTGTGGCCAGGCGCGTGGCCGAGAATGTGCGCACCATGGGCGTCGCGCTGAGCCCCTGCATCGTGCCCGCGGTGGGCAAGCCGACCTTCACGCTCCCGCCTAACGGTATGCCCCCGGGGGGGCTTATGCATGAGCCGTCGCATTTCGTTCTTTCTATATCTCCGCCGTCGTTCGTTCTTCATTCTTTTTTGCAGAGGTTGAGCTCGGACTGGGCATTCACGGCGAAGCCGGTGTCAGGAAGCAGCCGCTGGAGTCGGCCGACGCCACCGCCGATCAACTGCTCACCGCTATCCTGGCCGACGCCAAGGTATACCAAAATGCCTTTCCACCAACGCATTCCGCACATTTCTCGCGGACTCGGGACCCTAACCACAAATTGCCGCCAGCTTGCAGAGAAGAGCCGCGTGGCCGCGATGGTGAACAACCTCGGCGCCACGACCAGCATGGAGCTCTACATCGTCGCGCGCAGGGTGCTTCGCTTTTTGGAGGAGAAGGGATTCGTCGTAGAGAGGTACACTCGTGTGTGTGTTGTGTGTGTGGTGTGTGTCGTGTGTGTCGTGTGTGTGTGTGTGTGTGTGACTCAAATGGCCTTTGGTGCATTCCAGGTTGCTGGTGGGCACCTACATGACGGCTCTGGAGATGGCCGGCTTGTCGGTGTCGCTGCTCCCCATCGACGACGAAGCGCTCTCGCTGCTGGACGCGCCCGCTGCCCACGACGCTGCGTGGCACGGCTTCTCCCGTGCGGCGCCCAGCCGCAAGCACGCCTACACCGCAGCGCCGCCCGCCACGTCAGCCGCGTCGGCCGCTCCTTCGCCTTCGCCCGACGCGGCCCACCTGGTCGACGTGGTCGAGCAGGTCATCGCCGCCGTGCTCCAGCACGAGGAGCTGCTCACCCAGCTCGACCAGCAGACGGGCGACGGCGACTTTGGCGTGACCCTGGCGCGCGGCGGGAAGGCCGTGCGCGCCAAGCTGGCCGACCTCCGCACCGCCGGCTCGGTGGCCGACGCCCTGCACGCCCTCGGCATGGAGCTGCAGCGCAGCATGGGCGGCACCTCGGGCGCGCTCTACGGCGTCTTCTTCCTCCGCATGTCCGACGCGCTACGCAAAGCACCCACCGGCCATCAGTGGGCCGAGGCGCTCAAGGCCGGCACCGACGCCATCGGCCACCTCGGCGGCGCCAAGCTAGGCACGTTATTTTTATTACTATTTATTGGTTATTGATTTATTATAATGGTTTAAAAAAACTGTTGTGCAGGTGATGCTACGATGATGGACGCGCTGCTGCCGGCCACGGAGGCCTACGTGCGTACGGTCGGGAGTGGGGATTGGGGCAGCGCGCTGGCGGCCGCCGCGGAGGCCGCGCGCAAGGGAGCCGAGTCGACCAGCGAGCTCGTGCGGCGCAAGGGCCGCGGCACCTACCTGGGCGAGCGGGCCAAGGGCCACAAGGACGCCGGCGCCGAAGCCGTCGCCCTCCTCCTCGACGCCCTCCTCCACACCCTGCGCCCTTCCACCTCTTCTTCCTCCTAATCGAGCACTACTGCGACTGTTCGCCAAAGAAGAAGACGGTGATGCAGGTGCTATGTTGTTGTGGTCGTGGGCGGATTTAACCGGCCACGGGGAATTACACACCAATAGCACACGGGCGTGTGCGACTTTTTCTGTTCTTCAGTTCAGGTTTTAGCCAGATTTGGCCTCTCGGTAGAGAGAATGAAAAAGATCCTGTCCTCCTTTGGCGTAAAGGAGATCGCGCAGCGAGAGGAAGATGCCCAACTCAACCTCCACGCTAAGGCACCCCCCTTTCCTCAATTTCCATTCAACAATTATGAAAACAATTAAGAATTAAACAATTAAGAATTTAAACAATACTATGTGCAAGCCTCTCTTCGTGGATCTAGAAATATTTATTCTTTATAATAAGAATATTAATAAACAATAAATCTACAGCGGCTGGATTCGACGAAGACGAACCTGAGGGAGATTCACGAGCGGCTGTCAAAGAGGAGCCAGCAGACCCCTTCCATCGTCGAGGGCAACCGCAGGCTGGGCCGTTCGTTCACCGCCTTTGGCGACTTTCTCACGTCTGTGCGCGAGGACCCCGAGCTCGGTACGCGCCCTTCCCTTTCCTTCTTGTCACCACCACTACGCTTTTTTGTTTTTATTATTAAGTAATAAAATACTATTTAAATTGATAATAATAAGAAGAATAATAATAATAGTAATATTAATTTAATATGTCATGTTGTGTGCGTTAAGGTGAGTGCCTGGCGAAGGTCGGCCTCCTGGAGATCCTATTGAGCGACCTCCTCGAGAAATGGGTAAGGCGCGAGCTGAGCCGCTCAGCTTTGTCTCGGTGCTTTGTTCGTTGGCTGACTGCTGCCTCTCCACCCACCAGAACACGGCGTCGGTTGATAAGCTCGAGGACCCCATCAACGAGTTCATCAAGGGAGAGGTCGCTGCTGCCGAGGTGCGTACTTATCATCTTTTTAATTTTTCTTTCTTTCTATGTATATATAAAAGTCGCTCCAGCCAATCAGATGCATCCTTTGCTGATCGCACACTCGCAATATATATCTATATATGTATTTATGGTTGGCACCGCCAACAGCAAGAGAAAAAGCACTATGACAAGGCCAAGGCCGCGTTCGAGGCTGCCGACACCAAGCTGCGCCAGCTGAAGAGCAAGGAGGACGCCAAGGCTTTCGACATCGAAAAGGAGCGGAACGTGCTCCAGGTACACCTGCCTCTCCTCTCCTCTTCCAGCGTCGTGTCGAGAAGCTAAGCTTGTGCGGTGGTGCGTGTGCGGTGGTGTGTGCGTGTCGTGCGTGTTCTGTTGCTTAGGAGCGGTACCTCGAGAGTCGCGATCAAGCACAGACGGCCCTGGCTGATGCCTTCGAAAAGAACAAGTTCTCCACGCTGGAAAAGATGTGCGACTACATCGACGCGCAGCATCACTACTACAAGAGCGCGCTCGAAGCCGTCGAGCTCACCAAGCAGAAGGTCGACGACTACCGCCGCTACATCACCAAGGTATTATTCCTCTAATAATATGAATAAATAATAATAATAAATCATAAATAAGTAATTAATTGAACTGGTCTTTGCAATGCAGAAAAAGAAGGAGTACCGAAGCACCCGAGGCGCTGGGGGAGCAGGTGGTCAGGAAGAAGCCGACAGCGACGGCGAAGAAGATGAGGTACGCGTGCTGTACTCACTCACTCACTCACTTCAATTTCTTCTCATTGTTTTGAATAACCCAAATGGGCACAATGTTTTGTTTGTGTTTTTTCTGGCTTGCTTTTTGCAGGCCCGGACTGGCGGCGAGGTGGTGAGGCAGGGCTGGCTGCATCGCTCCGTGGGCAAGTCGTCGTGGAAGAAGTCCTGGGTGGTCGTCAAGTACAAGTACATGTATTATTACTCCAATCCCGACGTGCGTCACATCTCTCCCTCCCTCTCTCACCCTTAGCATATATCGCATTCTTACATTTTTTTTAAATCTAATTAATTTTTTGCGTGTCTGTGGCGACACGATGCAGTCCTCGCTGGGCGGAGTGGTGCGACTGACGCACTGCTCGGTCAACGTCTCAACTCGCAAAGAGTTCTGCTTTGCCATCAACGGCCGGTTGTCGTCCCAATTTTTCTACTCCAAGAGCGACGCCGACATGCAGGCCTGGATGGAGGCGGTCAAGACCTGCATCGAAGAAGAGGAGGCCCACGAGACTCGACAACTCGTACGTGTTACGCGTGTGCGGTGAGTGCGTGTGCGTGTGCGGTGGTTGGCGTGTGCGTGTGCGCTGCATGCCAACACTTCTTTGTAGGGAAAGGAAGAGATCAAGGGCAACGTGTACGTTGAGGAAGAGGAACTACAGGACGAACCCGAGGAGGAGATCAACAATGTGGAAGGTGCGCTCCGCTTATTATTATTTTTGTCATGACCCCCCTGACTGGAGTGTTTGTTTCCCCCTAATCCTTGTCTTCTGCGACGCCTACACACTCGACACACAGATCCGGTGCAGAGGGTGCACCTGCAGCTGGTCAGGGACGAAAAGAAGTACCTGGGCTGCCTCACGCGGCTCAACAAGATGTATATGCTGCCGCTCACGGTACCCCCCCCCAAATCTCCATCGCTGGCTCTCTGATAGTGCGTAATGCTTATTACTTTGGTGTCCCACTTGTTTCCTTTGCCAGGCTGATCCCAAGTTGAAGGGCAAGATCCAGCCCGATGAACTGGCCGCCATGTTCGGCAACATCAAACCGTTAACCACCTTCCACACAAACTTGCTCAAGCAACTCGAGAGCGTCGAGGCCAAGTACGAATTGCACACTCTATTTCTTTTTTTAATTGTTATTGTTATTATTATTATTGGCACTGGGAGTAATAGAATAATACATTATTTATTATTTATTGGGTTTTTCTCATCAACACCACAACAGGGAAGTGAGCGCCGTTTTCCTGCATAATCTCCAGGAGCTCGAGAGCGTCTACACGTCCTACCTGGTACAGCAAACCCAAGTGCCGCGGCAACCACACACCACTTGTGTTTTGCTGTTCGTCAGCTGACCTTTCGAATTCCTTCCGGGCCTCGTTCAACTATGAACTGCGCAGATGAAACTGAGCAACGGGATGCATTCGCTGAACGCCTGCAAGCAGCGCGTCAAGGTCATCAAGCAGTTCCTCACCGAGCGGGAGGAGATCCTGGGCGAGGGCAACGAGCTGGCCACCCTCCTCGCCCTCCCGGTGCAGCGCGTCGCCCAGTACACCAACGTCGTTCAGTATCTCATCGTCACCGGCTCGCCTGGTATGCGCCATCTTCTCCACTCGCGCTCACCTCACACTCCACCCACGCCGGCGCAAGAATGATGGTCGATCAGTGACGGTATGCGCGGAATGCTGATGATTGTGATCGTGTGCGCGTGTGCGTGTGCGTGTATCTTGTGATGGTTGGCTTTTTTGTATACCGTGCCAATGCGCAGATTCAACGTTGGATGCCGCGCACGACGCGTTGAAGGCCCTCACCGGCAAGCTCAACCAGTGCTCGGCCTCGTCCGCCTCGCTGGGCAAGATCCTCGATGTGCGCCGCCGCCTCCACAACTACGACGTACGCCCCACAAACATTTTCTTTCCTTTTCTTTCTTTTCTTTGATTGTTACTGGTCACTCAAGTGTGTTTGTTACAGGGCAACTTGGTCGATCCGCACCGCAGGCTGTTGCGCGAGGGTCCCGTCCAAGTGCAGCTCCCAGCGCCGCCTACTGGTACTCTCTCTTTCTCTCTCCGCCTCTCTCGTCACCGCTCATTTGATTGACCTCCTTGGTGCGAACGTGAAAAAAGGACCGGGAATGGCGGCGGCCTCGGGGGAGGCGGGCTCGCGATTGACGCGAAAGCCCACGGGCATGACCGCGATCTACCTCTTCCTGTTCAACGACCTCATGCTCCTTACCAAGGCGCCCACCATCTCGCGCACCACCTACAAGGTCATCGGCCAGCTCGAGATGCACAAGGCCCATCTGGTCGATGAAGGTACGTGTCGTGTGTGTCGTGTGTGTCGTGTGTGTCGTGTGTGTCGTGTGCCGACCACGGTCTGAATGCGAGTGTGACGTGGCATGACGTGGTGCGTGACGGGGCGTATTGCAGAGTCGGCGACGTTGTTCAAGCTGGAGGAGAAGCAGCGGGGCAAGCACGCCAAGGTCAAGGAGTACGCCATCCAGTGCGAGTCGCCCGAGGAGAAGGCGGCCTGGATGACCTCCCTGCTCAACTCCCTCGATGAGATGAAGGACAAGCGCAAGAGTGCGTACATTTTTTCTCTTTTCTTCTTCTTCGTTCGTTCTTTGCTGTCTTCACTCGCCAAGCGCGATACCGAGTGGTTGAGCCGATGTCTGTTATGTCCTGATTTGAATCTCGGCTTACTGTGTGCCTGTGCTCAGTCTACGGCATCCCGCTCGACCAGTTGATGGCGACGCGCGAGAAGGGTCGGGATGTGCCCACCATCATCGAAAAGGCCACCGAGTGGATCATCATGAACGGTACTCGATTGCCGCACGCACGCACGCACGCACGCACGCACGCACGCACGCACGCACGCACGCACGCACGCACGCACGTGCACTGAAGTGCTCAATCTCACTTCCGTCTTAGCCTTGTCGCACGAGGGCATCTTCCGTAAGGCTGGCCGCCTGGACTCCATCGAGGATTTGAAGGACCTCTTTAACCAGGGTTTGTTCTCTTTCTCGCGTACTCGCCGAACCAATCTTCACGGCTTGACCAACCACTTGCCACTCGTGTCGCGTGTGCGGTTGTGCGTGTGTCGTGCGTGTGTGCGGTCGTGCATGTGCAGGCAAGGCAATCGAGTTTTCGAAGGACGAGGATCCGTATGTGGTGGCGGGAACCATGAACCACTTCCTCATGGAGCTCCCCGATCCCATTCTGACGAACGCCATGTACGACCTCTTCATCGACTCAGTCAGTACGTGCCCCCACAGGCCTTTTGGCCTTTTTCTCTTTCTTTTCTCGAAAGGAAATTTCACACTTTGTCGCGTTTCAGCGGATGGGCAGGCGTCGGTTCCAAGGCTGAGGGATCTCATCGGCCAACTGCCGCCCTACAACCGATACGTGCTGCAGCACCTCATGTCCTTCCTTCAACTCGTCGTCGACCACGAAGCCGGTACACGCACACGACACACACGACACACACGACACACGACACACACGACTCACACGACTCACACGACACGCACGACACGCACGACGCACGACGCACGACACACACGACGCACGACACACGCGAGAGACTAATAATTGATTGTAATGGGCTCTGCCGTGGCACAGACAATAAGATGGGTCCGTCGAATCTGGCGATCGTATTTGGCCCGACGCTGCTGGGCTCCGGCAGTGCGGAATCGATCTTCTCAGACTTCACGGCCAACCAAAAGGTCATCGAGGCCATGATCACCAACTACGCCGCCCTCTTCCAGGTACATGTGCACGCACGCACGCACGCACGCACGCACGCACGCACGCACGCACGCACGCACGCACGCAATACAACTCCGTGTATTGACCGATATTCGCAGGACATTGAAGAGGAACGCATACTCGTCAAGAAGAAGATGCTCGAGGAAGAGGAGGCCGAAAAGAAGAAGCGGGAGATGCAACAGAAGAGAGTGACCGAACGGTAATTCCCTTCTTGTGCGTGTGCGCGTGCGGTGCGGTGGTGCGTGTGCGTGAGCTGACCGCCGCTCCGGGTGTCCAGGTTGGGCGCGATTTCGTTGAAGGGCTCTCCGACGCAGTCGCCAACCAACTCGGGCGAAATACCAGTGCGACCAGCGTTGTCCAGCCGTACCGTCGTGCGCAAGTCCTTCCTTGACCGCGCAGGCGCCCCGCCCTCTCTCCCCTCTCTCCCTCCGGGTACCTACCCTTCTCTCCCCCTTCCGACACGACACGACCAACGACACGTGCATGCCATAATCCATAATTCACACCCCATTCTCTGTTTAGCTCCGACCGGTGATGTACCCCAAGGCACTCAGATTTCTCCTGACTCCGGGTACCTTCTTGCCCTCACTCTCCGCTCATGTTGATTGGTTGGTTGGTTGATGTATTTATTTTAAATAAACAGAACCAAGCAGCTGCCGCCGGTGCCCACGGTGCGCAAGCAGCTGCCGCGGCCGCCAGGCAGCCCCGCCGACGCCCCGTCTCAGGCGTCATCGTCGCCCGCGGCCACGCCGGGCTCGCCCATGCCCGGAGCCAGCGAACGCGCGACCTTCTCGGTGCCCCCGCGCCCCGTGATGCGCGTGGGCACCACCGGCTCCATGCGGCGGCCCGGTGGCACGCCCCTGCCGCCCCCGCCCGGCGGCGCTCCGCCTCAGCAGCCCCTCCCGCTCAGCCCCACTTCTGCCGCCGCTGTGCCGCCAAGGCCGAACTCGGGCGGCTTCGGACTTAGCGTCAGCGCGGGTGTCGGCGGTGGTAGTGACGCGGATCTCGAACCTCTCGTATCCAACATCCGCTCGCTCACCCCTGGTACCATCACACCCGGCACCAGCTGGGGTGGCGCCGAACTACAGAGAACAACTTGTGCTCACTGGTGTGTCGTCGTGTTGCGTGTGTCGTGTGTGTCGTGTGCGTAGGGAGCCTGGTGAAGCAAGGTTGGCTCACCAAGAAGGGAGGCCAGCGAAGGAATTGGAAGACTCGCTGGTGCGTGCTCAAGACGAACGAGTTCAGCTACTACACCAACAAGAAGGTTCGTCTGGACCCTTTTATTTCTTTCTGTTATTTATTATTTTATCTCTCGATTGATATATTAAAAAATGATGTCGATTACGCTGCGCAGGACGCCAAGCCAAAGGGTACGATCGTGTTGAGCGGCATTACGGTGAAGCCCTCTTCGCACAAGGAGTTCTGCTTCGGCATCAGCACCACCGAGCGCACCTACCTCATGGCCGGCAAGGTACCACTTCGACCACTTTGCTCTAGTGTCACACAAAAGCGCGTCTTCCTTCGAACTCGGCGGTCAAGTCTCATCAATCTTCTCCCTGTTCTGTGCTGTGCGTAGGACGCCACGGAACAAGAGGAGTGGGTGACCGCCATCACCGCCTGCTTGAAGAGTCTGGATCCGTGAGCCAGGCTTTCCGCTTCCATCACAGCAACACCACCCTTTGCCACCAACACAATGTAGTTCCAAGAATTTAGTTTTCCAAAATGTTAATTCACATCGATTCTGTTTTGTTCCTTTTCAAAAGAAAAACAAAAGGAGGAGGAGAGGAAGTCATGGCAAGAAAGAAACGAACCGCAAGGACGACGCCCACGGTAATCCCCACCACGAGTGCTGACCCCTTCGAAGACCCAGACCTCGGTAAAAATATAAAGCCCTCCAAAAAACTTGATTAAAAATTTGTGCCACAATTTATAATAATTCAATTTCTGTGGGGCACTTTCAGTCCAGGCGCAGCGGGTGTTGAAACAAGTCGGCGCGGCCCTGCAAAGCGGCACGTTAGACTATGCCACTCTTCTGACATTCTTCAAGACCGCCACGGAGCAGTCCTTCCTGGCCCTGCACCCGCTCCACAGCCTCACACGGCCTCACCGTTTCGGTACGAGGGTTTCATTCCGCCCAGGCCAACCGTTTCAGATGTGTTCACGACGTGGCCCACACAACTTTAACAATTGTGATCGTGCGTGTGCGCGTGTGCGATGTGGGCGGGTGGGTGTCGGCGGGCACAGACCCAAGGCAGCCCCAACAGGACGGGTTCGAAAACAAGGCGATGGCCGAGCTGTTGCTCCGCGCGTTTGGCAGCGACAAGCTGCTCGAACAGGAGCACGAAGGCTGCACGCCCCTGGGTCGGGTATGCATCACTTCCTTCCCCTTCCAGCCGCCGCACTCCCTTTTTTCACCGCAAATGCACTCACGCGTGCGTGTTCCACAATGGTACCACCAACGCAGGCCTGCCTCAACAACGACGTGGGCGCCGCACGCTTCTTCTTGGACGCGGGTATCCAGACCCTTCGCCTCTTTCGCTCTCTATTACTCTTTCGCTTTCGCTCTTTACGCGCGTGCGTGTGCGATCGCTGGTCTTACCGTGCCTTTCTTTGTTCCAGGCGCCGACATGACGAAAGAAGTGAGAGCCAGCAACAGTATTTCGCGAATGACAATGCTCGCTGCGGCGGGAAGCACTTTTGCCGGTCCAGAAGTGATCAACCTGTTGCTCGACCGCGGCGTGGACCCAAACAAGCGGCAGGAGCGGAGCCGTACGCGCCGATAACGAAACTATGACACTCTCGCCGCGCGTTGTCTTATCATGGTGGGCCGTGATTGCATCCCTGCGTGTGATTCATGTGGTCAGGATTCGTACCGCTAGTGGGGCTTGTCAGGGAGGCCGCCTCGCGCGATGTCTTCGACGAGGCAGCGCTGGCCACCGTCAAAGCGCTTATGGATCGCACGGCGCGCTGCAGCGACCATGACTTGCTGTTCAAGATTGTGTGCAAAGGAAAGCACCTTGATCTGCTCAAGCTCCTGCTTTCGTACGACGATCAGCTCAAGGTTCGTCTCCTCTTCCCGCTGCTCGTATTGCGTCGTTCGTGGCGAATGAGGCCAAACCACGTCGTTCGTGCGCGGGAACAGGAGTACAGCCCGCCGACTTCGAAGGACGCGCTCGACAAGCACCCGCTGATGGTGCTCATCCATACGCACAAGCCGGTCGAGTGGTTCGAGTTGATGCTGGCCAACGGACACAAATTCGCGCAGCCGATCGATCTCTCGGCGATCGACGCCCTGCACGCGGTACTCGCCGAGGCCGACAAGTTCAGCGACGAAGTGGTCGGCGTTTTCATCAAGTACGGCGCCGACGTCCGGAAGACAGCGGCCGATACCGGCGAAACACCAATCACGCTCGCCAGTCGCTACTCGTCGAAGGCGGTGCTGCAGATGTTGATCGCTGCCGGTGCCGATATCCACTCGACCGACGCCTGTACGTCAAGCGCCTTCTCTCCCCACGCAGAATGGTGCAGAGTAATTCAACGTTGCTTACTGCCGCTTCGCTTCGCTTCGTTTTGTGACAGTTGGTCGGGGTGTGCTTCATGCCACTGTGATGAACGGCCGCGAGAAGCGATTCAAGCGCTTCCTCGACGTACGCGTCTCCGTTTTCCTGTTCCTCTCTGCCACCCTTTGCTGCAATCACACAATTCACGTGTGTGGTGTGTGCAGCAAGGCGTCGACCCGTGGCGCAAAGACATGGCGGGCAACTCGTTGTACATCTACGCTATTGTTGGCCAGGCCTGGTGGGCCGTGACTCACCTGATCGATCACGTGCGTCGTCCGCCCGGCGACGATCATCTCGGAGTACCGTGGTGGCTGGAGGAGCGCGTGCAGTGGCAGCTGCGACAGCCGATCACGCAGGCCATGAAGGACCGCTTGGACGCCCTCCGGTCGCGCGACGACGCCCGCATCGAGGCATCGCCGCTGGCCGACGACCAACAGCGCAACATCGTCGACAACATCCTACCCCGCAATCTTGTGTCCGACGGTGACGGTATGGTCGAAGTGGTCGCCGACGACGAGTGGGCGGAGAGGAATGCCAAGTACAAAGCCTTCCTGTGTGCCGTCGACAACAGATTCGAGCTGCAGCGCGATGTCTCCCCGCTGCGCCTGTTCATCATGGCGCGCCAGCACAACTTGGTGCGGCGGGCGATGAATGCGAGACCCGAGCTGGCGCTTCGAGAGGAAACCAACTTGGGGCTAGACGGGACGAAGGCAACGCCGCTCGAAGAGGCAGTCGAAACAGAGTCCTGCTTTTTGCCCATTCTTTCTGCGTTGAAAGCCAAGGTTCGTCCGCCGAGTGCGTGAGTGCGTGTGTGCGTGTGTGCGTGTGCCTGCGCGTGCGTGCGTGGTGTCGTGCTGACCACGATGTTGGCTGATTGTGGGTACCTCGTGATGTGGGCGCAGGGCGTGGTCATCCCGCCAGACTTGCGGCAGAAGGTGATGCACATCATGTTCGCCGGCGACGACATTACCAGCTGGCCAGAGCTGTTGGAATTGCTGCCACTGCTGGGTACGGTGGACCTCAACGAGCCGGACCCCAAGTCAGGGCTGACACTCCTGCACAGGGCTGTCGCAAAGTATGTCACTTGTCGGTCGCATGTCGTGTCGTGTCGTGTCGTGTCGTGTCGTGTCGTGTCGTGTCGTGTCGTGTCGTGTCGTGTCGTGTCGTGTCGTGTCGTGTCGTGTGTCTTGTCTAATATTGTGGGTGGCGTGTGTTGTGCCACGCGCCGTGTGAACAGCGGTGAGGAGGAGTCCATGAGCACTCTAGCCGCGTTGCTGCGGCTGGGCGCTGATCTCGAGGCAAAGGACCGCAACGGCAAGACGCCCCTCTTCCAGTGTAAAAACAATCAATCAATCCTTCAGCTGCTCCTGGCCGCCGGCGCCAACGTCGACATCATCTATTCACGAAAGCATCGCTCCATCGGTACTTGCTTTTCCTCTCAGCTTCGCTTTTCGTTCTTCCTTTGTTTCGCTCTTTTTTGACCGCGCTGGTGCAGGCACTGAAGAGAGCAAGAAGAAGAAGAAGAAGAAACAAAATACGGAACAGAAGGCCAGGACGGGGAAGAAGTCGGCCCTCGCATTCATCGCCAAGTGTTTCAACGAGTATGCAACACCACTGCTGCCCCCCCCCTTCTCTTTTTCTGTCCAGAGCCTCACACTTGTGTTTCTGTGTCAACAACAGAGCAACTGCGGACACCGTGGCGACTTACGCCCCATTGAGTCCGGCCCACGTGTACTACCTCATTCGCGCTGGGTGGTGGAATGTGGCCGCCACGCTCCTCCTTGTACGTGCCCCGTAGCAATTCATTCGCCCTCCACTGATTGCTCACTCACTCACTCGCTTCACTCTTCACAAAGAGGCTGCACCGGGAGGGCAAGATACTGGAATACCTCCAGCGACCAGACCACAAGAGTCCGCTCTGGGCTGTGGTCAAGTCAGAACCAAAGCGCAAGGTCAGCAAACGCCCCCTTTCCTCTGTATTTATCAAAGCCTTCCGAGGTGCGTTCATCTGCGTATGCGGTGCGTGTGCGTGTGCGGTGATGCGTGTGCGGGTGTTGAGCTTGCCTTTGTACGATTCAGGCTTCGATTATGTCCCGGGGAGGAATAAGCACGGCCGGTCTCTCCTGTGGGAGGCCCTGACACAGCCCCACCAGCTCCAGTCCGGGTGCATGGAATTCGTCCTCCGGTACTCCGCCGCCGATCTCTGCACAACCAACGACCAGGGCGAGTCGTGCCTCGTTGTGGCCGTGCAACACGGCAACGTCGCTTTTCTCGACGCCATCCACAAACTGCTTCAGCAGAAGAAGACCGACGAACAAGAAGAGCTCGCGCTGCAAGAAGTCGGACAACTGCCTCTTCGCGAGCAAGTGCGGGCCATGGTGCAAATGAAGAACGCACGAGGCCAGACAACGCTGATGGCCGCCATCCGCCCGTTCTCGTTCGCGTCCTGCGCCAACGTCCCTCTGGTACGTGTGCGAACACTCTTTTTCCCCCTTTTACCGCGACGTCGCGCTTGGCACTCATATCCACAGGGGACGTCAAACAGGTGAGCAAGCTACTGGAGTTGGGTGTAGGTGTGAACGAAGCCGAGCTCGAGACAGGCAACACGGCCCTGTTCTACGCCGCCACCACCAACAGCATTCCCCTCTGCGAGTACTCCTCTTCTCTATATTTTTTGACTCAGTTATGTCGTGCGTTGTGTGTTGTGTTGGTGAGTCGCTGAAAACGGAGGCACGCCCTGCCAACCTGGTGCAGGAAACTGGTGGCGAGTGGGGCCGATGTCAATGCGAGGAACAATGCGGGAGAAACACCACTGTTTGCAGCCGGGCGACACAACCACTGGCACACAACGCTCTACCTCCTCCAGGTAACCTGTTCATTGCGCTCTCACTTGCGTCTTTCTGCGACATTGACACACGACGCACACACGACGCACACACAACACACGACACAGCGCGGGGCGGATCCGCACGCCACGAACAAGGCCGGCGAGTGCGTGCTCGTGGCATCGTCGGCCCTGTGTGCGGCCATCATTCACGACTTTGTCACACGACCCCACTCGCTTGCCTTCATCTCTGGCCAGCTGCTGCCGCTCCTCTGCCCCGGCATCCAGTTGCCCCAGCCCCAGCCCAGAGCTGCCGCTACGACCACAACTGACGCTGCTGCCCCGCCAACGGACCCAATGGTGGTCGAGGCCCAGACCGGGTCCAGCGTCGGCGGCGAGCCAGCGGCCACACCGCTGAAGCCGCTGGTGAACTACTTTCCAGAACTCGTGCCAGCGACGGCGGCGGCGCGCAGGCAGGTGGTGGCGCGGGTGACTGAGCTGCTGGAGCGGGTGCTGGAGACGATGCAGCTCTACCAGGGCGCGCCCAGCGATACGGACCCGACGTCGGCCGCGCGGGCCGACCGCGAGGCTGACCCGGAGACCGACCGGCGGGCGCGGTGGGAGCGGAATGGGTCGCTCGCGGGCCTCAAGACGCAGCTGGCCGGGTGGCTGCGGGCCAGCCAGGCGCGCATCCCGCGCATCACCCGCAACCTGTCCTTCTCGACGCTGAGCGAGAACGAGATGGCCCTCTACCTGCGCCAGTGGAAGGCCCTCCAGGCGCGCAAGCGGAAGAGGGAGACGGCGCCTGTGGAACCAGCGGAAGAAGATTCGCAGTCGCAGGGCCTGGATGACGCCGAGCACGAGATCGACGTCAAGCGGCCTCGCCTCGCTTTGCGTACCACCCACCCTCCCAAAATGACCCCTTTCTCTTTCTTACTTTTTTGGTGTGTGTGCGGTGTGTGCGTGTGTGTGTGTGCGTGTGCGTGTGCGTGTGCGTGTGCGTGTGCGTGTGCGGCGTCACGCACAGACGACGATGATCTGCCGGCGGAGCCTCAGCTGGTGGTGCCCGACCTGGACACTATCCCGCTGCCGCCGCCCTTCATTCCCGCCTCGGCCCGCTCGCTCCAGGGCGAGCGACACCGCGTGGTGTCGGTGATCGAGCGCACGGCGGTGGTCAGTGGCCGGTCCGAGGGTCCGATGGGTGAGGCCATTCGGCGCGCGACGATGGACAACGCCGCTCAATGGGCTGTAGGGCTGATGGACGACGACGAGGGCTACCTTCGCGACGCATTCCTCATGCGGCTGTCTGCCGGCCACCACCAGCCGACCACGGTCGTGCTGCAGGCCCTGGTGGCCATGCGCGGCGACGGCATCGCCAGATCGAAGTCCGCGATGACGACAAAGAACGAAAGCGAAAGCGAAAGCGAAAACGAAAGCGAAAAACGAGAGAAAGGAAAAGAGAAAGAGAAGGACCAGATGGAGACCGAGGGTGATGCGGGCACGCGCGCGGACGAAGACGCCGGCCTCGTCTACTACGGTGTGTGGGAGAAGGGGAGAGAGGCGACGCCGCAGCTGTTCGCCACGCGCGAGGAAGCCGTGATGGAGTTCGAGAGGCGATTCAAGGCTCTCACTGGCAACGCATGGGCCGAGCGACAGCACCAGCATCGCTACATTCAGCGCCCGCGCCCTCCCGCCGCACACGGAGCCGAGCCAGTCAGCGGTCCATTTACCTCCGATTCCACCACGACCACGACCACCGCGCCGACGCCGGCCCAACAGAGCGAGGCGGAGGTCGAGGCAGAGTTTCTCTATCTGCCGACCAACCACGAGGCGGTGTGCGAGCAGCTCCAGCACTCGGGAAGTGGCAACGACGAGGTGGAGCGAGTCAAGGCTGCCCTGCCCGCACCCGGTACAGTCACCGCCTGCGCCCTTCGACTTTTACACACCACTTACTTCTGTGTGTGTCCAGGGGACATTGACACACGGTCGGACGAGCAGCGGGTGTTCGACCTGTTGTCGTTCGTGTCCAACAAGCACCAGATCTTCGGCTACTGCCAACGGTAAGCCCACATTAACGACTGCGAGTCCGCTTGATTGTCCTTTAGTTGCGCTAATGCATCACCATCACCCTTGGGTGCAGGGTGGGCCTGCTGAAGGTGGCCACGCTGGGCCAGCTCACTGCGGCCCAGCTCAAGAATGCGAGCAACATTCTCGACGTCATTTCTGGTATGCGTCTACATTCCTCACCATAGCTGTGTGCACCTGGAATTCAGAGCATTTACCCCACGACACACATACGGGGGGGATCGATCTCGCAGGGATCTTGGCCTACGAGGACGAGCTCAAGCGGCTGTTGCGTCCGCTGCCGCCGCACGTTGTGCAGGCGCGCCAGAAGCTGTCGCACATGTTTCACTGCGTGCTGCCGTTCGACTTCACCGCCAGCAACTCCTCGCCCGAGGTCATCGACACCCACCACAAGCTCGCCCACAAGGCCGACATTCTGCAGGCACGCAGCCTCGCCTTGTCGCAGGCGTGTGTGTGTGTGTGTGTGCGTGCGTGCGTGCGTGCGTGCGTGGTGGTGCGTGCGTGCGTGCGTGCGGTGGGGTGTGCGGGTGAACTGACACATAGCTCCAGTCGCTGCAAGAGATCGGAATTGGGCTGGAGGTGTTGCACGAGGTGTCGCTGCCGCACAAGCACGCGGATGGAGCGGCCGCGGCAGAAGACGAAGCGGAAGAGGCCGAGGTGACGATCGACGAGCGCGCCGACGAGCCGCTCAAAGCCAACGACCAACGGACAGCCCTGGCGCGTATGCGGCTGCTCTGCAACGCGCTCAAGGCCAAACTCACGCCCCTCGACAAGCGATCGGGTATCTAGCCCGCCCAACCAACCCAGTTGCTGGGACACAAATTGATGTGCGTGTGCGATGGCGTGTGCGGTGGCACCTGCGGTGTGTGCCAGACGAATGGAGGATGATCGGGGAAGTGATGAAGGGCAAATCGGCAAAGGTCATTGACGCCTTCGCGGTGGAGCGCAAGGGCGAAGAAGAACGCTACCGGCCCTACGCCAACCTGCCCAACCGCACCCTCCTGTACCCCCCTCTTTCTTCTCTTTGCAGGACCCCCATTCGCGGGACCGCCGGCTCACCAGCAGTACTGCGATTACGCCGCGGCCTACAGGGGGCACGGTACGGGCGTGGCCAACGTGATGGGCATCCTGCGCAAAGGCCTTTGCATCAAGCCTATCGGAGCAAGAACCAGCGGCGCCACGTTTGGGCCAGGCAGTACGTCTTCATCTCTTTCTCTTTCTTGTTCACTCATTTCACAGGGTTCTTATTCACATGGCCGCTTACCAGAGTGTGTGTTTGTGTGCGTGTGCGTGTGTGTGTGGTGATCGATGAACAGTCTATTTCTCCGACCTGCCCAACAAGAGCATGAACTACATGAAGCTGGACTCGGAGGTGGGATGCTTCCTGTTGTGCGAGGTAGCGCTGGGCGAGGGCCTCATTCGCCGCACCACCAGGGGCGGCACCACCCTGCCTCCCGTACGTTGAAGAGTGTTCTTTCTTCTGCAACCATGCCGGGCATGCTATCATGTCGCCCTCCTCTCTGACCGACATGTGGTGTTGATGGTGCGGTGCCGGTGGTGTCGACCAGGGGCGACACCACTACCTGGGAGTGGGCAAAACCGTGGCCGACCCACACCTGGCCCTCCACACGTACACAACCCCGTCTCGCCCCCGCACCACTCGGGCGCTGCACTCACCACACACATCTCCCAGGGACGGGGGCGTGACGGTGCCGCTGGGCGAGACGGAGAGCCGGCAGGGCAGGGGCTACAACGAGTTCGTGATCCCCAACGAGGACCAGGTGCGCATTCGCTACCTGCTCCTCCTGAACCGTGCCACCGCACGGCGCAAGTAAAAAATGAAAATGAACTGAAAAAACAATCTAACGCTGCACTGCCTAAACTGACAACAACCAGTACTGTACTTACTGGGCCTGGTCCATGTTGCGGTAAACGCCGTTGGTGAGGGCGGCCACCTGCTTCATGAACGCCGCGCTCAGCTGCTTGTCCGCCGCGCTGTCCGGACCCAGCAGGAACGCCGTCGCAAAGATGCGGATCTGACGGTCGGCCGCGCGCTGGGCCTCCCACTGCGGGATGGCCTGCAGGATGCGCGGCGCCAGGCCCGGGTCGGGCACGCCGTCGGTGAGCAGGTAGACCGCGACGGTGTCCTTGGACGAGCTGAAGGCCAGCTGGAGACCCGCGTACGTGTTGGTCGACCCGCCGGCGCGCAGGCCCGCCACGAAGGTCAGCGCGCTCTATCATATGTGTTGTGAACCGGTTAGTTGGGAAAGAAACCAACAACAAGGCTTCGTGTGCGGTGGTTGTGGTGTGCGGCCGTGTGGGCATGAATGGATATGTGGATGGCAGGCAGGCAGTCAGTCAGTCAAGTAGTAAGTACCTTGATGTTGGCGGTGGTGGCGTTGACGGGAGCGCTGAAGAGCGCGCGAGCGCCGCTGCTGTAAATGATGACGTTGAACTGCTGGTAGGGCTTGAGCTGCTCGCTGATCACCTGGCTCAGGTGCTGCTGCACGTAGGACAGCCGCGAGTAGGTGGTGCCGTTGAGGGTGAACGGAGTGTCCATCGAGCCCGACACGTCGATGACGAACGTGGCCGACAGGGCCGTCACGCTGCCGAAGATGCAATCCCTGCACCACGTCGACATCCACCAAACAAAAGACAAGCAGTAAGCCACGCACGACACACGACGACACACGACGCACACACGACGCACACAGCACACAAGACACGGTACCGGCTGGCGACATCGCGGAGGATGGCGTAAGCGGCCTGCTGGTCGAAGCTCAGGGACCAGCACGTGGTGGCGATGAACACCTTGTTCTCGTCGGAGGCGTTGAGCAGCGTGTCCTTGATGCTCTTAAGCACCGTCATGCGCTCGGGCGAGAAGGAGATCGCGTTGAGGACCTGCACGAACTCGGTCGTGTTGAGGCCGATGATGAACGGCGACATGAAGGTCATCGCCTGTTGTGTCGTGGTTGGTTGGTTGTTAGATGTTGTTCCCAGCCATTAGTGGGTGCGACCATTGGTTGAGATTGTCGGTTAATAATTGCCCAAAAATGTGAGTAAGTAAGAGTACGAGAGGGTACGGGGGTACCATGACTTTGTCGTCGGTGAAGGAGAGCGCCCCGAGAATGTTGACAATCTGGGCGCCGGAGAAGACGCGCGTGTCGTTGGCCACGGACTTCTGCAGCAGGGCCATCTTCTCGCTCGACTGGCCAAGGTTGTTCATCGCCTGCACCAGAGCCTGCGCGTGCCCGTGTTTGGAGCGATCGGAGTTTAAAAATATGAAAACGACAAAGCGGGGGGGGGAAGAGAGAAGAGCGGGGGGTGGGGGGGGTACCTGAACCCAGGCATCGGGGCGGACGTCGCTCTGGGGACACGCCTGCTGCTGGGCCTTGGCCGCGGAGGGCGCCAGGAGCAGCACGGCGACGAGAGCGAACAGCACGGTAAAGCCGATCAGGGACTGGGTGCGGGCCATGGTTGGTGTGTTGTTTGTAGAGGGCGAAACAAACAAGAAGCGGTAGAGCCGGACCAGAAATGGGAGACAGCACTAAAGTGTCGGGGCTGTAGGACCGATTGGACCTATCAGACTACCCCACTATGTGGAAATGAGCAACGCAATGAAACAATGGTCGACAGGCTCGAACAGTGGTCGACAAGGTGGGCGCCAGCGATAAACCAAACCTTTTAGCACCCACCGTGCTGACAAATGGGGTGTTTTGAGGTTACTTTCCGAATAACACCCCATGCACAACTCTAAAACACACTTCCCTCGCACCACACTTCGGACACACTTGTGCCTCCACACTGACCACCTGTAGGGTCGCCGGTTGCAGGGTCACACCGGTGTCACAACGCACCACCCGCACCACCAGGCTCCACTTCTCCACAAGAAGTCGGCATTGAACGCGCAAGTGCTGCACCACTCATGATGCACGTTTCTGTATACGCAGAAACTTCACTTTATCACTCGGAAAAAACACACATTCCTTAGCTCAGAAGCGCATCTTCCAAGACACTCCTTTCACTGCCAGCTAACGTGCACACAGGTAGCAATCCACTGTGTCAGACTCCCGGCTGGCAATGGTCATGGCTTGCAGTGTTAAGGGACATGGCTGAGCGCTTGGGATTGATGATCAGCCAATGCACTGCAGACAGGACCCTTCTCACAGTGGGACCCACTGCTGCTTGGCTCCTGCCCCTTGAGTGGGCTATTGCAGCTGGACTGCAGCCTCTTCTCCTCAAAGCTGTGCTTGTGTTCTCCTTTCACTTTGTTCTGGAGATTGAATGTTTGCTGGTGAGCAAATGTAGGTGGTGGCATTGATCAGATGCTTCTGCAGAGGCATGACAGAAGGGTACTTCTTGACCAGAGTGCTCTTGATCACTGCAATGGAGAGCTGCCAGAGAAGAGCATAGAAGCTGGAAGAGATGGCACTTTGGTGGAGGGAATACTGCTGATGGGTACTTCATGACAGCAGAGCCAAGCCTTTTTCTGCTGATTAGATGTGATTTTGCTACAGCTTTGAAGGGGAGGGTGTACCTGTTGCCAACACATTGGCAGAGATGAGACAGCTGAAATATTCCAACATGGGATCTCTCCATCTTGCTCAAGCAGGGTGAGTTGAATTGCAGCCTGCTCATAATCCTTTATCCCCTTATTACTCCTGTCACAAGTGGGCATGAATGCCTTCAGATGAAGAGTGAGATGGCCACTCAGAGAGTTAGTAAAAAATACTAATAATTCATAAAGAGTAAATGGACTGGCCAGCCAAAATGTGTTTACCTTCTTCATTTTGGCTCTGTTGATTTGACAAAGTAGGAAGTAAACTACCAGTGGCATGCCCTTGGCGCTCACTTGCTTGAACAGGTACTGATGGCAAGAAACTGTGTACTCTTTCTCATTCTTGATTGGGCAAAAGCCCAACAGGTGCATGTTGCCCCACCAGATGTCCTTTGGGGAGATGGTGGTCACTTTCAACATCTCTCCCACAACCAAGATCCTCTACTTGAGCAAGTGTGGTGTGGCCAGTGGCCAGTCAAGTGGCTTTCTTGAATTATCTTTTTTGGGACCCATGCACATTTCACAGAAATCTGCAACAGGGTACCAACAAAGATGATGCTGGGAGTTGCAGGTGGCAATGCAGGGCAGGAAAGAAGGATAGCAAAGCAGGAGGATGCAAAGCAGTCAGTAAGTGCTGCTACCACTATGAAGTGGAAGAAGTCTGGTGCCCAGAGGTGCCAGGCCCTGCACAAGAAGCAACTATCCATGCAAGCAGTTGCCAAGTTGCATGCAGAGGTCAGCATGAGCGGGCTCTGAAGGAGTTGATGGCATTTGTCCATTACTTTCTTACAGTGTGAGAGCTTGCCTCTGCTGGAGAACAGCATTGCCAAGATCTGTGGGCTGTACAGCAAGCTAGATAAGGCCACCCACCAAACTTGCTGCTCCCCAACGCCATTGTGCCTTTGCCTACCAAGCTGATTGCAGCACTTGCCAAGGTGGAAGCCACCATGGATCCTTGAAACTGTCAGTCCAAGCTCAATGAGGTACATCATGTGAAGGGTTGACCATGCACCCCCACTCATCAGTAGCACTCTTCCTTACATCATTCCACCTCCAGCTGAGCAAGTACCTCCAAGAGCAAGGACATTGGCCTGATGAGTGAGTGATATGGCATCTTGCTGATGAGGATGCTCACTGCTGTGCTGCATAGTCTCAATCCATGTCACACTGTTGGCTTAATGAAAGGTTTGTGGTTTTGTTCACCTCAACAGGTGATAACCTTCCTTAAAACATCATTTCTCCACATGTGCACCTTTACTGCTTTCTCTCTGACCTTGGCAAGTGGAATGGTGGCTGCAGCCTTAGGCGACCTTCAACAATGACCTTCAAAGTGGTGCAAGTACTGTGCAGTTGTGCATGTGAACTGTTGATGACAGTTTGGCCACTGCACAGGTGCAACTGGGCAAGGAGTACCAGGATGGTGGTGACATGCCTCACCCTTTTTGGGACTGCACCACATTCAGCACATTCCTGTAGCATGGGCGAATCCCATGAAGTGGGCTGACAACAGCAGCAGTGTCACACAAACTTCAACACAAACTCAACTGCTATGCAACAAGTCAGCCAACATGCACAAGGCAGTGTGTCATGTGACCTGGCCACTGAAAACTGGGTATTCATCTACACTAAGTCTCAACATGATCCTCAACCTGACCAGTCACCAGCACTTGTGTGCCATGGTTATTTTATCATATTTTCAATTTTAGCATTGATTATTTTCCAATAATTCAGTTTCAATTTAACCCTGCCCATCTCACCTGAGGTTGTGGTGACACTTGTGGAGAGACTGCCATTGACTGCAATGTACTTGTCCCTGGTCCCATGCCCCTGTGCACTGTGCTCATTGTGTCTGAACATCACATTTTAGAGCTGTCCACTCCATCAAGGTTTACATGCACCCCCTTGCCCCATGATTGTGTCCCCACCAGAGCTGAGCATGACCAGTTTGAAGCCATCCCCACTATTATTGTCTCACATGACTGCTGTAGGATCTTCATGACATGCACCACTATCATCATTGTCATTATCCTGTGTTGCAGTTCCTGCCATGCCTTCTTGCAGACCCTGGGGCTGGCCATCAGCTATATGGATGGATTGGAAGTGTCCCCCATGCACAAGTCAACAGTCCTATTCACATTCAGCCTCTTCTCATCATCCAGCAGACCTCACAAGGACACCTCTGCCTCAGCCAACTCACACCTCAACCAGGCAGCAGCCTGCCTTCATTCTCCTCCCACACTTCCACACCTCTCAAATCCCCATCACCCACCAACAGGCCCTTCACCTCCAATACACTCTCCTTCAGACTCACTCACTCCAGCCCCCACCACCAGGGTAGTGGGCACCACACTTGCACAGCTCACCCTTGAGCACAACAACAGCAAACCTCTAGCAGATATCTCAGGGTGGCTGTGGAGCACCAGGAGGTGTGTATCACTTGGGCAGCCACACTGCCACTCAAGGGGGTCAATGAGATAAGTGAAGCTGATTTTGCTGGAGGAGGCTGAGCTGGTGTACATTGATGAAGTGGCTGAGGTGTCAGATCATGAGGAAAACTCCTTTGTGGACACCTTCTCATCCCCTCAGTGACAACAACCACCCACCATGCTCTTGTTAATTCACAAATAAATAAACATTTCTGGCATAAATTTTGCTGAGTTTTCTGGAGACCAAAGTCCACTCATGCACAAAAGATGCCATTGATGGTGCCATCAGGGTCGTTCATGTAGGCATGGTCCTTGAAGCCCTTGTTGTTGTGAGACCATGTGCAAATTATTGTGCATTGTACACAGTCACTGGAGTAGAGATGTTGATTGTTGGTGTTGTGGATGTCCTCACAGTCTACACATAGATTTGGCAGGTACACCTGCAGCCACATCAGTATCATACAATTAACAAGATCACACAATCACACAATCACATTCATGAGGAAATGAACCATCTTCATGCCATGCCATTGTGTGACATCCCTGCAAATCTTTGTTTGCCATAGCTTGCCCTCCCTTTGGCTTATGATATTAACTCAATAGGGACAGAGATGGGTGGGGAATGTACTCCATTTCAGGGCATTTGGTCTCAGCCCCATGGGCAGGAACATACTCCATTTCAGGGCATTTGGTCTCAGCCACTTGTCCAATTAGGCTCAAGATGAAAATTGAATTGCAAATGGAATGGAATGGGGAAGACATGTACTTTTTGAATTGATCTCAACCACACACCTAGGCCAAGCACTGTTTTATTAATCAAAGGGCAAAGCCTCCCCTGCCTCTCCTGTAAGCCCTGTGTGTGTGGTGATGCTGAGGGATGAAGAATGAAAATCCACAGAGAAAAGCTGCATTGGCGTTCATTTGTCAAGTTGGGAGGCGAGAAGCAAGTCCAGCGTTTGCATCACGTGCCGGCGTCGTGCAAGAACGAGCTCTCGGCCGGTGAGACCCTCGTGCGCGTTCGTCGTCTTCGCCTTCCCGACAGCCGATGGAGGAGCTGGGGGCGACCTCGCCGCCGCCACCGCCGCCACCGCCTCTCGCCCACCCACGTCCCCCCCTCGGCTTCGGCTGTTCGTGGCACTCTCGTTCTGCTTCTTCTTCTCCTCCTCCTCCTCGCCCTCCTCTTCCGCCTCGTTCACCTCCATGCCAGTTGCAAGTCCTTCGTCCTCCGTGTCCTCATCGTAATTGATGTTATTATTGTCTGGGTCGTCGTTGACGGCGGTGTCTTCACTGTCTTCGTTGTCGTTGCCATTGTAGCTGTCGTCTGATTGGCTCTGCACCTCCTCTTCTTCCTCCTTTTTGTTCATCTTCTCCTCCTTTCGCTTTTCCTCTTTCCTCCTCCGCTTCTTGGCTTTCCGCTTCCGCTTCTTGGGTCTGTTGATCGGTGGGAAGATCGGCGGCACGGGCTTGGAGTAGGTCCGCCGCGCCCAGTTGTAGACGGTGCCCACGATCGTGGACTTAGTGTAGGGGATCCCGCGGCGCTGGTCCTTGACCTGATCCCACAGGTGCGCGATGCGGGCCACCACCCAGCCCTGGTCCAGGTCGGCCATCGGAATGTCCTCGCGCATGAGCGTCTCCATCATTTTGAGCTGCAGGCGCCTCTGCAGCCTCATGTGCTCGCTGAGGAGCTCCTCCGCGGAATCAAACTTCAGCTGCCGGTACCGCGCCCATCGGTACCGCTGGTGCACCACCTCGGCCGACGGCTTGCACTTCTCTTCGTAGCCGAGTCGCGCGCATTCGCCGTCGATGAGAGCCGCGATGAGTACGGTGGACTCCGACGGAGACTTGGACTTCGAACTGCTCGGCGACTCGTCGAGCTCCTTCATCATTCGCTGCACCACGGCCGCCGACACCTCGAGTCGCCTGTCGAGCACTTCCTGGCGCACCAGACCGCCCGGTCGCTCTGAGGCCTCGTGAGCGAGTCGGTGCTCGACGAGCTCGTGCTGCGTCGTGAACCTGACGCCGCACGGCTCGTTCGGGAAATCGCGACGCGGGTGGAGACACACAAAGTTTCTGCCATTGTTCACGGCGAACGTGATGCCGTACTTGAGGTATACGGGCGTGCGTTCCTTACACGTGGCGCACTTGTCCCGAAAGTGTTCAGCGCACACGTATTTCCCCGCTACACCAGAAGACACATGACACACAACACACAACACGTTGACCGTTAGGCAGAGAGCACGACACCAAAGACCGAGAGGGCAGCAGGCAGTACTCTTCCAACGCCCGTCTGAGGAGGTGGTGGTGGGCCTCGCCTGTCTGGCCTTCTTGTCTTCCGTCCGCCGAATCCTACGCCGCCTCTTGGGCTGATCCTCCTCCCCCTCCTCTTCGTCCTCTTGGCGCGCTTCATCGGCCGATCTTCTTGCTCGCTTCCCCTTGGCCTTCTCTTTTTCGTCCTTTTTCGTGTTCTTCTCTGCAACTCTGCTCTTGCGCTCCTTGGTCTTCTTCTTCTTCTTGTCGCTGTCGCTGTCGCTGTCTCGGCTCGGCTCGGCTATTTGCCCGGCCGAGGCTTGCTCGAGCTCGGAGACCTCAACTCGTTCGTAGCGCTCGTCCTCCGCTCCTTGCTCCACTCGTCGTCGTTTGGTGGGGGCGGCAGCGGTGGAGGTGACGGTGGCCTCTGCTGGCTTCCTCGCCTTCGTCTTGGTCGTGGCTGCTGGCTCCGAGGCGGCGGCGGCGTCGGGCAGCGGGTCCCTAGTCTTGGTTAGGAGTCGAGTCGCGGCTGCCCAAATTGAACGGATTGAAATTAAAGCGTGATTCAATTTGATTCACAAGAGAGGGAAAGCAGGGACGTACAAAGCACGTGAGAACTTGTCGGAGACGAGGAGGATTGCAGCTCATTGAAGAGCAGGTCGGCCTCCAGCAGCAACTTCTCCGTCGAATTGTGGTTGTAGCTGGGCACTCGCGGTTGATGGAGAAAGCGCCCCCTTGATGCAAATTCGGCAGGTGGCTGCAAGTGCACTTGCGGAGAAGGGGATTGAAGGTAGTAGCTGAGGGGCCGGATCAACGGGCCGCCCACACGACCGGGCTCATCCATCTTATCTTTGGGTTTATTTGGTCTCTTTTCTCTCACCTTTTTCTTTTCTGTTTTTTTTCTGTTTTTAGAACCCAAAAAAAAGCACAACTTCAGCCCCAGTTCTTGGGTTGGCGACGGTACATGACTTCGGTACGCATGATGTACTTGACGTCGGAAGCGAGCCGTTCGCCTTCATGAACGATGTTGTGCTCAAACACCAGCGCCATGCCTGTGAGCGGTGTGACTGCATGCCTCTCTCCCTCGAGGAACACCGTGGCGCCTGCACGAGAGAGGTCAATCAAAGTTGTCTCGCAACTCCCCTATCTGGGAAGACCAGCCATTACCGCCGCCAAAGCCCTCGTTGAGGTAGAGCATGAACGTGAAGAGACTCCGCTCACTGGACGACGGCTTGTACGCCGCATCCACATGCGGTTCACAGTGTTGGCCAGGAGTGTACCTGCAGAGGATAGTCACAAGCAGATCAGATTCGACAGACCACACGCACGACACACGACGGTGAGATGGCGACGATGCCTGCAGAAGCGCCAGCGGTGGTTGAGCCCGACCACGCTCCAGGTCTGACCACTCTTGATGGCCACTTCCGGCACCAGGGCCTTGACGCGGGGCCAGATGGCATCAGCCAGTTCACGGTCGTCGATCATGAGCCTCGTGTTACTGCGTGAGGCGGTAGTGAACTCGCGCATGGGCTCGTAGCCCTCGCGCTCCGTCCGCTCGACCATGTGTCGGCACTCGGCGGGGGTGAGCACCCCGTGGAGGATGAACGCCTCCCTTCCTTTATTGCTGACCTCCAGATCTGTTTTCGTCACCTCATCCGCTGACAGGGCCGACAGCACCAGCTCACCAACCTGAGTGGGGCGCCACCAGCCCGCCTCGACCGTCTTGACGTTGAAGAAGTCCGCCTCCATTGTTGTTGTTGTTTTTCCACAGCGTTGGGTCTCTTTTCTTTTCTATTTCTTTTTATTCAACAGAATTTCTGTGCTGTTTTGAGCGTCGTACACTCCAGATGGACAAGCGTACGCTTTACCAGCTCATCATCAGGTTCGCCCTACGCTGCCACTATGGCACTAGTGCGTTGCGCTACCAGCGGCATAGCTGCCGTGCTGCTCGGGACTTATTTATTAAATTGTTTGAATTACATCGATCCATCTCTCACATCGAGATTTCTTTGTCTACTGCCAGCCAGCTGCACGAGGATGGATTTACGGACATTGCCTCGCAGCTCTCCAACGTGACCCTTATCCCTCGCCCGCCGCAAGTGGCACCTCAGCGACTCTACCGACTCGCCAGCCAGGGCCGCACCAGAGAAGCTGGACCCGGACGCGAAAGTAACCCCCTCCTCCCTCTTCTTCATCTTCGTATCATGAGCTTATCATCGCTTTGTAGTTTCTTCTTGCTCATTTGTTTGCTGTGTTGTGTGCGTGTGTGTGTACCATGATGTGCGGCACCAGAGGACAAGATGGCCTGGGACAAAGAGGACGACGATGACTCGGGGTCAGTGCTGCTGGGCGCCACCGTGCGGCCCAAGGGCCTCGACTTTGATCGCGAGAAGCGTACGTGCACGCCCTGCTCTTTCGTGCGGTGCCATCGCACACTTTGTTTGCAGACTCTGATTTTGCTCCATTATGCCTCCGGCAGCTGATCGAGCGCCGGATCGCCACGGCTGCCGCTTCACGACCCGATATCTCACAACCCACAAGGGCTCCGTACGTTGTGGGCGATTCTCTCCCGACGGTACTACGCTCACCATCTACATGCGCCAACTCGCCATTGCTCGAGTGCTCTTGGCTGCGCATTTTCGTTCACCGACGCACGGCATGGTGTTGTTTGTTGACTGCTTGCCAACAAACGACCAGGCAAGCTGGTGGCCACCGGTTCAATGGACACCTCGGTCAAACTGGCCGACGTGGAAAAGATGAAAGCCCACGGCGACAAGAAGGATCACGACCACATGGACGACGGAGCCTCTCGAAATGTCACGCGCTCCTTCTACGACCATTCGTCGGTACGTACCTCGGAGTGCGTGTGGCCTACGCCATGTCGCGTTGCTCACAGTGGTGATGGGTGCACCCACTCATGGTCGGTCCAGACGGTCACGGACGTCTGCTTTCACCCCACGACGCCACTGCTGGCCTCCTGTTCCAAGGACATGTCCATCAAATTCTTTGACTACTCCAAGACGCACGCCAAGCGCAGCGTCAAATTCATCCAGGTAACAGGCCACGCCACGCACACAATCGCTTTGTCGTCCACTCTCACGTTCTGTTATTTTCATACAGGATGCGGTCCGACTTCGATCAATCGACTTCCACCCGTCGGGTACCGTTCTATGCGCCAGCCTCAGCGCGCACAGACGTTGTTCTTTTTCCTGCGAACGTGGGCCGATTGAAAGAGCTCACTCCTGACTCCGTGCGCAGGCGACTTTTTGTTGGCGTCTGGCAAGGATGCACGAATCCGCCTCTACGACACGCGCACACAGCAGGCCTTCGTATGCCCCAACGCTGGAGACAATCACTCATCCACGGTGAACATGGTACCCTCACCGCCAATCGATTTGGTCTCAAATATGTTATCATTTACCATTATTGTCCTTCTGCCTGGCCACATGCACCATTTTTTTAGGTCCGATACCGCAACGATGGAGGCGTGTACGCGTCGGCCGGAAAGGACGGCAACATCAAGCTGTGGGACACCACCAGTGCCACGTGCATCAGCACTTTTCCCGCCGCGCACTCGGGCAACGCAGTATGCTTCTTCTGCTTCTTCTCCATGTCGTGACCCTCCTCATTGCTCACCGTTGACCTATCCATGCTTGCAGGTGACCTCCGTTCAGTTTTCACGCAATGGGCGATACCTGCTCTCGTGCGGCAAGGACTCGACCGTCAAGCTCTGGGACCTGTCCACCACGCGACCCCTCCGAATCTACTCGGGCTCCGTGCTAAGCGTACATTTCTTCTTCTGTTTTCTTGTTCAGCGTTAGTAATCATAACGAACGAACGTTTGCAGAAGCGGAGACTCCCCGCGACGTTCAGCTTCAGCGAGGACTTTGTGCTGGCCCCGGACGAGTCCGGCGCGGTGGCAGTCGCCTGGGACACACGCTCAGGTTCGCGCATGCGTCGTGTGTGTGTCGTGCCAGCGGTCATTTTGACAATCGCCTCTTTTCTGCAGGTGACCTGCTCCACCGGCTCACCGGACACAATCAGTTGGTGCGATTTATCGCTTCCTCCCCCGTAGAGAACGCCCTCCTCACCTGCAGGTACCCACCCCTTCGGCTCTCCTTCATCATGATTAGATGTAGAGGTTGTTGGTGGTGCGGAAAAAACTAACGCACGACCACCAGTGACGACTCCCGGGCACGCTTCTGGGTGGTCTAATGGCGCTGCTTTGCCGCTTGACCACAAATAAATAAATCAATTGGCACCACCATTCCCCAGATCACCTTGATCGGCCGATCTGGGGAATGGGATGGTGTTGCCAACTCCCGGTCAGTTCCTTATTGCCCATCACTCCTTTCTCTCACTTTCATCTTCACCCACTACACAACACTTTCACTTTACCACCAATCTTCTTGTGCAATGACCATGAAGTGAATGTTTGTCCTGGTGGCCACTTGCCTGCTCAGCCTGCTGGCTGTGGCCCAGGCCCAGATGGACTGTGGTGCAGGCTTCTTTGGGGACACCAATGGGTGCTGCCCAACCTTGATTGATGGACTGGCCTACTTCCCCAACTCCCAGGGCTGCTATCTGCTCTCCCTTGAGTCAGGCATCTTCTACACAGACAAGAATGGCTGCTACCCCAATGTTTGTTTGCCTGCCACCCTACTGTTGGGATATACATATCTCTTTGTATGGCTGATGAGATGACTTGACTGCTTATAGGCATGTACCTGGAGAATGGCAGTACCTGCACCAATGTGTGCCAGGCCCAGTGCTTCAACATGACCCAGGGGGCCACCTTCACCCCTGATTGTTGGCACCCTGGTGGCCTCTCCCTCTTCTTCTCTGTTGGTGTCTCCCTTGGCATCTGCCTCTGCATCTCCTTTGCCATCATGGCACTGACACCACCAGCTACTACCTGGACACCAACAGTGTCTACCTGGGTGGCAACCAGGAGTGCCCATCTGCATGCCAGTGCTCAGAGGAGTGCTTGAGTGTGTGAGGGGATTTTGTTTTATACCATTTTAACCACAAGAACAATGGCAAACTATAAAAAGCTTTGGCAGCCTCACCAACAATGGTATGTTGAAGGACTTTGAAGAGTGGAATGAAATAGCAATTCTGGTGAACTCTTCTTTCTGGGCATGTAACAGGGCGCAAGTGTGAGCCATGGCCAGTTTTGCTTGACATGGACAATATGGGTGTGCCCATTCCATGATCACCAACATGGGCATTGTCTATCACTAACACCACCAATTGCTCCCTGAATGTTGACAGCGTCTACCTGGGAGGTGGCCAGTAGTGCCCTCTGTGCCCCAGTGCCTGGAGGAATGTGTGGCTGGGTATTTTTTTGTCCATTTTGATAGAGAAATCTGGCAGTCACCTCAGCAGGCCCAGTCGCCCAGTGCAGTCATGTACTCCAGATCTGGCTTCCTTTGCTTCTGGGCGACACGGGATGCCACCTGGTGAAAACACCGTACGACCGGGACGTGGCCGGAGGTATGTCACGGACACGAACAGACACCACCAAACAAGCGCGGTTGCAACACCTGTCCCAGAAATTGAACCAATCCAGATTTAATTCGGCCAGTGACCAATCAACAAGGTCAGCACACACCTGGCGGCAACCAGGTGTTCATTCGGCGACCAATCAACAAGGCCAGCACACACCCGCTGGTTCCGTCTTCACAGACATCCCTTCCCGGGAACGCCCTTGTCTCTCGGCGACCGTCCGAGACACAAAAAGCCAGACTTCTTCTTCTCTTTTTGTCCAGTACTCCTCTGCCCACCACAGCAGCTCACCCACCCCCCTTGTACCATCAGAACACACCACAGAACTGCACCACCATGAACCGGTCCGGCCTTTTCTCGCCGGTCCTGATCTCGCTGCCGGCCCTGATCGTACTGGTGCTGTTGGCCCTGACCACCACCCCGACGGCCGTGCACGGCTTCGGCTTGAGCTGCACGGCCAACAGCACGGGCGCGTGGGACGTGGCTGCCACCTGGATCAACTGCAACGACACCTACCCGGGCGAGGGCGACCAAGTAAACATCGCCGGGTCTGAGGTCCAGGTCACCATCCGGGCGGGCCTCAGCGTCAACGTGCAGTCCATCTCGATCAACTCCTATGGCGGTCTCATCAACAAAGGTTAACGATATCTTTGCCTGGCTGCCCGAAGTGCGGTGCCTAATTTTCTTTTTCTTTTTCTTTTTTTCTTTTTCTTGATTTATCATCATCAGGCGATTTGCGTGCGGTTTGGCTCGACGTAAACGATGGCGCCGTGCGTTCGACCGGCTCGCTCCAGTTGGTGGACACCGACGAAAGCGCTGCCTATCTGAGGACCTCCTATGCGATTGTCGAGCTCTCGCGCGACCTCACCATCGCCGGACTCGACGAAGGTAAGCCTCCCCGAAATGTCAAATTCAAATCATTGTGGTGGCCCTCTTTGCTTCCTCTCTAATCTCTTTGGTGAAAATTGAATTTATTCATTTCCCTTTATCGGATTGATTAACCCTCTTTATTTTAATATTTTTTTACCTGTTCTGTGCTTTGCAGCCTTTATGCAATTGGGCAACACCAAGGCCACGTTTGGCGGGTCGATCAATGTCACCGCGGGCCAGTACGCCCAGGCCTACGCGGCTGTGCTTTCCAACTCGCGCGTGAGCGTGGCGGGCGACGTCACCGTGCTCGGCGGTTGCTACGATTACAACAAGAAGCGTGAGACCAACAACGAGAATGACGACTCCGTCGTGGAGGGAGGCGAGAAGCAGAAGAAGAAGAAGCGTGGCTTCAGCCTTGATGGCTCTGGCCTGGCTGTGGACTACGACTCCTTCCTCCAGGTCCGTTCCTTCGCCCGTGGCCTCCTCCACAACCACTTCCTTCCATGCCTCACCACCCACTATGCGCTGGCCTGACGCTCAATCACAACAAACAAACAAACAACACCAGGTGGGCGGTGATGTGGAGCTCACCACGCGCGACTTCACCGACAACTCGACCACCGGCTCGACGCGCGAGGTGAGCCTCTACTTTGACGGCGGCGACGTGGTCATCGGCGGCGATCTGCTGGTCCAGTCGGGCGACAGCCTCCTCGCGGACACCGGCGACGCGTCCATTTCCACCGGCGACAATCTGTTCGACTTGGTTGAGAATGGGTGGACCCCCTCCGAGTATGACACGGGCTCACTCATCGTTGGCGGTGCGCTTCCCACCCCCTGGGATCTCTTGGCTTCGCTCTTGGGCTCTCGCTTTCGTTCTCGAGAACGAACTGCTTGCCGGGCCAAAGCACTAACAACACACAACAGGCTCGGTGACGGTCAAGTCCGGCTCGGTGAGCGGCCTGCGCAATGAGAGCAACCAATACGGCTACAGGGCCGGCGAGGCCTGGATCAACCTGGTCAAGGGCTTCTTGCTGGCCAACGGCTCGCAGTCGACCATCACCGTGCAGAGCGGCAACACCGGACCCAGGTATCCCCCTAACACCCCTCCCCCACTAATCTCCCTGTGAAAGCGCATTAGCACAGAAAGCTCATGCATGTCAATGGCGTGTGAACCTGGCGCAGCACCTATTACGGACAGAGCGGTGAGGATGCCTACGTGCAGCTGGGCTTCGGCAGCCAGTTGGCCGCCACCAAGGATCTCATCGTGCAGGCCGGTCACGGCGGCGACGCTGGCCTTGGCCAGACGGCTGGTACGCTGACAGTGAGCCCTCGCCCACCACTGTGCGAGCTTGGGCCAATTTTGACGAGGTTGGTCGGCGGGAAACAGGTGAGGCAGGCAGCTCGTCGCTCATTGTCGCCTATGGCGGCGACGTGTTGGTCGGCGGCAATTTGCACATCGTGGGGGGCAACGGCGGTAACAACTCCATGGACGCCACCGAGAGTAGCGTCGCTGGCGAAGGAGGTACGGCACGGCCTGCCCGACTGGGCTCGCGCACGCGCTTTCAACCGGGCCAGGTCTCGCTCATCTTTCGTTGTTGTTGTTGGCGGCTTGCTTGCAGGCCAAGCGAATGTGATGATGATGAGCGGAGGCAGCATCAACGTGGCCGCCGACCTGCTCGTGGCCCCCGGTTCGGCCGGCCAAGCCGCGGTTGGCGCGAGCGCCTATACCGGTAGCTTTTATCTGGTACGTCCCCATACCCCCCGACGACATAAATCAGCGCGGCCTGACAATCTTTCATTTTTCGTGCGACGCAGGGTCCTGCCATGGGCGGCGGTGGTGCCTGCAAGGAGCGGGGTTGCATCTTGGCTCGCAACGACAACAAGAGGGGTGTCTCCTCCGACTTCGTGAGCACTGGCGACATGAACGTGCGCGTGGGCGGTGACCTCACTTTGCGCGCCGGTTCGTCCAGCTCCTCCACCTACGCAGGCGCCACTGGTACGTCTGCTACGTTGCTGCTGCCGCCTCGTTGTCGTTGTCGTCGTAGTTATGCCGTGGCTAACTTGACATCAACCCAACCTCAACAAGGCGGTGGTTGTTACAGCAGCGTGGGCTTCCAGGTCAACGATGGCTGGCGTCCGAACATGGGCGGTCTGGTGGTGGAGAACGTGTGGGAGGGCGAGATCATCATCGGCGGCGACCTCCGCGTCACCGGTTGCAACGCCGGCAGCAGCGTTGAAGGTAGCGGCGGACAGAGCGCCGTCGTGTCTATCGTTTCAGGTTTGTGCACTATTCCTCTTCGCACAGCGGTAGTCTGCGCACGCGCTCACCATCATTGTCGCTTCTCTGGTGGTGGTGACGTACATACACACATACACACACACATACAGTGAGCGGCGGCGTGACGCTCGATGTCTACGGGTCGGTCGTGATCGAGGGCGGCAACGGCGGTTCGGTCGTCGGCGGCGGTTCAAATGGCGGTGACGCCGGGTCGGCCATGTTCGAAGTCAGTGAGCACAGCCTCGTGAACGTTGGTGGTACGACTCGCCACTGCACCGCCACACACGACCTGCGGGCTACCATGTGCATCACAAATCAGCTCTTAAATATGACAATGTTGCAGGCTCGGTGACCGTCACTGGCGGCGCTGGTGGCGACGTGATCAATGGCACCGGCAGCGGCGGCAGCATCTACGAGAGCTCCCAACTGGCCGTGTGGGCCCGAGCGCACGTGGTGGTGGGCGACGGCAAGGGCGCCATCACCATCATCGGCGGCCGCGGAGGCAACGTCTATGCAGAGAACACTCCGAACTCGATGGGCTATGGCGGCTCGCCCAGCTCCGTCTACCTTGGCCTCTATGACTCGTCTTCGGTCACGGCGGGCGACGTGCGCCTGGTGGGCTCGTCGATGGGTAACGCCACGGTCAATGGCAGCGCGCCTGTGCCGCCGCCACCGGCGCCTGTGCCAATTAGAGCTGAACCGGCGCAAGTCGCGCGCGAAGCGGCCGAGTCAACACCCTCTGGAAGGCACGCAACGAAGGTACCACCACACCTGCTCGCTTTCCCGTGGAGGTTACCGATGGTAGTAGTTGTGGTGATGGTGGGCCTGTGTCTAACTCGCGGCGGGTCATTTGTACACCAATTCTCACACCAGTCCGCCGCCCACCACAAGACGACGGAGCGGGAGAAGAGGGGAAAGGGATTCAACAGCAACCCCGAACTGGAGGTGGATACTCGGTCGTGGGCAATCATCAACGGCGACCTCGAGCTGCTTCCTGGTACCTGGCAACACACACCACACACCACACACACACACACACACACACACACACACACACACGACCGCCTCGGTACCACGCACACACACACACGGCACGCGTGGCACAAAAACTATGTCTCATAGAGGCCCGGTACAGACACTAACCTAACCGCCTCTTCTTTTCCAAAACGCCAGGCTCTCCGTTTTTCCACAATTTGAATTCGCCTGAGGCAATCTCGATGTCAATCATCAGCGCGGACGATCTGTCCACCATCACGGTCAACGGCGACGTTACCGTCAGGGGCGCCGCTGGCGCCCATGTGTCTTCCTCCAGCCCCTATACCCGTACGCACCTATTACCTTATCTGACTGTGATCGTCACCATATCACCTCCTCCCACCCCTAACGCCGCTGTCGTTACGCGCACGGCAGTGTTCGGTGGTATAGCGCTGGTCGAGCTGTCCGACGGCGCGGTGCTTCAGGCCCGGGGCGACATGTTGCTTCAGGGCGGCGATGCCGGCCACGACTTTGCCAACGCGTCCATCACCGGCTTCAAGGGCGCGACCGCGTTCGAGCTTAACAACGGCGCGCACTTCCACCAGTCTGGCCTGGTGCGCCTCATCGACGGCCAGGGCCTGGAGCTTCCCTGGAGCCCGGGAGAGGGGCCGTTCCCCATCGGCGTTTCGGTCTACCAGGGGTCCGAGTGGACGGTGTACCCGTGCGCCGGCGCTGGGCTCGAGGCGTCTGGCAACAGCACCTACTTCCAGGTGCGCGAACTGTCGACGTTCAGGGACTGCCGCGGGTCAGGCGCCAAGCAGCACTACCCGGAGCCGCTGACCGACGGCTCGGCCGATGGGTCGTGCTCGCCCTGCACCTGCACCGCGGCGCCTTTCAACGCGTGCCCGGAGGAGGCCGCCGCGGGGAGCGTGCACAACAACAACTTCGTCGTGGCTTGCCTGCATGCCCTTGCCGCCCTCCTCCTGTAACTGTAAGGCGAGAAAGCAGCTTCTGGCTGACATGTTAGATTACAAAATATATTTACAAAATAGTGTTTGGCTTTTGCCAATGCACGTAGGCTTCCCAAACACGCTATACACGATCGGCCGCCCGCTGGGCTTCCCACTGCGATAGCTCAGAATCAACGCCGCCAGGCCCGACTCGGGCCGCCGTCGGTGAGCCGGTAGACCGCGACGGTGTCCTTGGCGAAACGTGGCAGACAGGGCTTTCCCACTGCCGAACACGCAATCCCTATCCAAGGATAGTGTAGGAGGCCTTTTAGTCGGCGCTCATCAGGCCAGCACTTGGTGGCGATGGCCTTCTTGTTCTCATCGGAGGCGTTGAGGAGGGTCTCATTGATGCTCCTAAGCACTGTGAGGAGATTGCCGAGAGGACCTGCACGAACTAGGTCACGTTGAGGCCGATGATGTAGGGCGACATAAAGTGCATTGCCTGTTGTTTCGTCCTAAACACTTTCAGAAGAGCCTCGCTCCGAAACGCCTTGACTCACGATCAAAGTTACGAAGTGAGTTTGTCATTAACTGATGGACGCGCGGTTAGCATGGGGCGACCAGGGAAGCAGCCTTTGAAGCCTTCTTCTGATGAGATGGGCCACACGATGATAATCGCAAGCGTGGCAAGAGAGTAAAATTCTTCACCTTGGATTTGAACACACAGTACAGGCTTCTACTGGGTCTGGTCCATGTTGCGGTAAACGCCGTTGGTGATGGCGGCCACCTGCTTCATGAACGCCGCGCTCAGCTGCTTGTCCGCCGCGCTGTCCGGACCCAGCAGGAACGCCGTGGCGAAGATGCGGATCTGGCGGTCGGCCGCGCGCTGGGCCTCCCACTGCGGGATGGCCTGCAGGATGCGCGGCGCCAGGCCCGAGTCGGGCACGCCGTCGGTGAGCAGGTAGACCGCGACGGTGTCCTTGGACGAGCTGAAGGCCAGCTGGAGACCCGCGTACGTGTTGGTCGACCCGCCGGCGCGCAGGCCCGCCACGAAGGTCAGCGCGCTCTGTCGTAATGTGTTGTGACCGGTTAGTTGGGAAAGAAACCAACAACAAGGCTTCGTGTGCGGTGGTTGTGTGTTGTGTGTGTGCCGTGTGCGCATGAATGGATATTTGGATGGCAGGCAGACAGTCGGTCAGTCAAGTAGTAAGTACCTTGATGTTGGCGGTGGTGGCGTTGACGGGAGCGCTGAAGAGCGCGCGGGCACCGCTGCTGTAAATGATGACGTTGAACTGCTGGTAGGGCTTGAGCTGCTCGCTGATCACCTGGCTCAGGTGCTGCTGCACGTAGGACAGCCGCGAGTAGGTGGTGCCGTTGAGGGTGAACCGGGTGTCCATCGAGCCCGACACGTCGATGACGAACGTGGCCGACAGGGCCGTCACGCTGCCAAAGATGCAATCCCTGCACCACGACATCACCACCACCCAAGACAAGCCGTCTCATCAGCCACGACCCACGGCGCACGCAACACAACGCACATGACACGACTCACGACACGCACGACACTCGCACACAAGACACGGTACCGGCTGGCGACATCGCGGAGGATGGCGTAAGCGGCCTGCTGGTCGGAGCTCATGGACCAGCACGTGGTGGCGATGAACACCTTGTTCTCGTCGGAGGCGTTGAGCAGCGTGTCCTTGATGCCCTTGAGCACGGTAATGCGGTCCGACGAGAAGGAGATCACGTTGAGGACCTGCACGAACTCGGTCGTGTTGAG